CGCACAGGCCGCCGATTTGATCGAAGTCGAGGCTTGCGACATAGAGACCGACGTCGTTGGCCACAACATCGCTCTCGCCTAGGGTGGACGATGCTGCCTGACGTGAATGTGCCGACTCTAGCTGTTGGAGACGGTGATGACACGCTTTTTTAAGAATAATCATTCTTAAAAAAAGAAAAAAAAAAAAAAAGAACGTCAAGAACGGTTTGGCTTTTGAACTCATTTTTGAAAAAAGTTTCACGACTCACGTGCTGAAAGCAAGCATGTAAACATTACCCACTTCGGCGATTAAAGAAGTCAACTAGATACGCTTTGAAACCAAGTGATTATGAGCATTACAAATATGCTTCAACAGAGCATATGCTGTCGCTTTTCTCTGTTGCTTCTTTTCTTTTTTTTTTAACGATGGCGATGTTTGTGTGTGTGTGTTTTTTGCATTTTTGTGCCATACTGAAGCTAAATAAGCGCAAGCGAGTGAACCCTAAAAAAAAAAAAAAAAAAAAAAAGACGGAGCAAAAAAAAAAAAAAACGCTAAGCTGTTTGTTATTTTGTCGTCCGGTTTTCTCCGCATTGTAGGGTTCGTAAAGTCAAATCATTGCTATTTCGGAATTTTGTTGTGCTGCCCTGAAATTGTCGTCGAGTCCTTGACACTCAAAGGGTAGAGGAACTTTAGTTAAGCCGCCTGCATTCCCCGAAGCGAGGCCAGCGTCTTTCGAGGTCAGGATTTCGCGGCTTTTATGACGTCGGGAGCTAAGCCATTCGCACCTGCGAGCCTGAAGAAAGGCTTCGGTTACAAACGTGGCCGAGTTTGGAGAGGGCTGTTCGAAGAGCCGGAGCCGGAGATGTGTTTTTCACGCAGTCCACGGACAGCGTCGTCTTTTTCGTTTTGCTTCGGTATGTTGTGGGCATGCACCGCCCCTCGCCGTAGTGGATTGTCAAAACGAAACACACACACACAAAAATACTGACATTGGAAAAGCGGAAGGGGTAAAGGTAACAATGAAACTTCGGCGGTGTTCCGACCCTTCAACACCCAACGCCCCGTACCCTGGCTACGCCGCTGGTGTGCAAATATGTTCGTGTTTCCCAAATAAAATTGAGCTGCCGGTAGCCGCTCTGAGTTTGCACTACTACTTCTTTCAGTTCGGTTGTTTGTTTTTTCTGGCGCTTCTAAGTATAGAGTCTATTCACATGACCTCAGACCGCCTTTTAATGTCGAGTCACTACACACAAGCATGGACGCCGAAGGCCATAGCGGTTCGCCGATAGGCGAGTTTGCTTTGCCTTCTTTTATTTTTCACCAAACTCACGAATAAAAGTTCCGCTTTATCGCTCGGCGGCCATGTTTGTGGGTGATGACTCAGCAAGGGAATAGACCCTATAGGTTTGTTGCAGCTGACGTCACTTCCGGCTAAACTGTAGGTCAAAACCAACATTGTCGTCTACTATCAGTGCCTTGTCAACATGTTGGAGGCAAAAAATGTTCTTCTCCTGACACGAAGTGCAGTCCATAAACCCGTAGTTAGGGTACGAAGCTTTTCTATCAAGATCATAAGTCTACGTAATAATCTAAAGCGAAAGTCCCATGCGTTTGGCCGCGACGGGAGGGCGATGCATAGACGCGGACATCGGAGGCCTCATTTGGTGGTCCCTATAAGCTCATGTCGCTGGCGACGCATATGCACAAAGGAGCAGCAAAAAACCACCTGTAGATTATGCACTTTATTTTTTTTTTTTAATTAGCAGAAAAAACATTTGAATTGCGCGTTGCCAAATTTAATACAAAGGTAGGCTGTATCAACTCACTTATTAAAATATCCTTGCCCATCTCCCCTCCCACCCCCGCCCCCCCCCCCCCCCCCCCCCCCCAAAAAAAAAAAAGAGAAGCGGCTAGGGAAAAAAAAAACAAAAAAACCTTCCCCGGAAAAAGAAAAACACGACAACAACAAAAATCTGCGCCGAGCAGCGTCGAAAATGCGCCGACCCCATAGCAGCGCCATCTGTTGACAGCCCGTGATATCGCGAGGAGAAACTAACTCTAGCTACAGTTACTCTAGAGTTCGAGTGAGGGTTAAGGGAGAGTATCATCGAAAGAAGCGGTCGCGAAAGAGTAACTTTGATGAAGAGAGGGTTAAAGTAGGGTAACTTAGGGCAGTTACTCTCCTTTGACACCTTTTTTTTTTTTTTAGAGTGTATCGTCCAGCTCCTACGCCGAGATAACCAATATGGCAAATGATGTTCCACGTAAATTAAGCTCTTGGTCAAAACAGAACAGTCTAAAAGTTAATTCTAATAAAACTAAAGCCGTTTTCTTCTATACAAGAGGAACACCTATCCCATTGCATCATAACATAGCGTTTAATCACACAAACATCGAAGTTTTGGACACTAGAAAAGTGCTTGGCACGTACTTCTCCAGTAACATGCAATGGGACGAGCATGTTAACTTTGTACTACTCAAACTTAGTCAAATAGCTGGTATACTGAATCGAAATAGGTATATTCTTCCGGAATCAGTTAAATTATTAATCTACAATACGCTATTTGTATCTCATATTAACTATTGCCATCTTGTATGGGGCACAACAACAGAATCTAACCTCCATAAATTACACTTAATGCAAAAGAGAATGATACGCGTTATTGCCAATGTCTCATACACCGAACATACTGACTACCTTTTCAAGAAATATAACATTCCAAAAGTTCATGACATATACCGAAGGAGGCTTATGCGGGATTTTTATTATAGCATTAGGAAAAATACCTCTACACTCTTAGAAATAGGAAACTTAGAAAAAAGGCAACCTTCGCATAAAACACGAACTCCAGAACCATGGATAGTTCCTCGTTCTCGAACAAATTATGGTGACCAAATGCTTAAGAATACTTTGCCTCGACTACTAAATTCATTTGAGGAGGCTGGCACCGATATATCCTCTATAACAGCTTCTGAACTGAGATATCTTTTATGTTCATTTTCTGATACCGGTGCTCTTAGAACTGCCTGAGATGAAAACGAGCTATTTCCTAGAATTGTTTTGTGTTCCTTACCCGACCTAATCATGTTAAATTGCAACTGTATTCTAATGTGTGGAGCTGTATCGAATGAGTGAATCTGATTGACCAGGAAGTGTTTTGTTACTTTGTGTGAGTGTCTTGTGAGTCCAATGCTGCCATCATTTAAAGGGGGCCGAGGGCCCCACAAGCTGCGTTTGTAGCTTTTTTCCTCGGCCTCCTCCATTCTGTATGAAATGGAAAACCAATAAAGAAAGAAAGAAAGAAAGATGCATTTGTCAACAAAGAGCTCACGCTTGCAGCCTGGTATGGGAATCGTAGTAGAGATTTAACATGATAAAAAGCTGGGAAGCAAAAAAATAAAGCGAAACAAAAGGCAAATGAACACAGAAAGGTATAAACTATGTGAATATGCCCATTTTCAGCGATCGATACATGAGAACCGGGACTCGTAGCCGGTTGCCTACGGACCGCTTCCCAACGAGTCGCGGTCCGCATGCGGCCCGCGGTCCGCGTGTTTGAGACCCCTGATTTATAGCCTAGAATCTAGATCTTTGTAGAACTTCCCTGGCATACCTCTGCGGACAATTTCGCCCACTTTATTATTCCCCCCTCCCCCGCTTAGGGTTTTAGAGGTAACTTTTATATTAGTTCACATGATTAGAAGTGAATTATACGAAAAAGAAAATATAAACTTCCTTAATTTGTTTATGATCAGCACTCTTTTTGAAGGCCAGGTTATTTATTTGCTTTCGCTTTCAATCCTCACACTTTTTTTCTTTTTTTACTTTGTGCAAAAGAGGTGCCATTTGGTCGAGCCAATCAAGGGTACGTTTTAATATGACGTTTCGCATAGGGCATATCTCATTGGTTGTTGAACTTCGGTCCCTCGAACAAACCGAAACACTTGAGCCTCCCTAGACCGAAATGTTTTTGTGAAAGATTGTTTGCACTATTTGCACTTTTTTTTTTTTTTTTTTTTTTTGTTCCACCCAATTTCAAGAGTATTTTTCTGTTATCTTGAGAGTTAAAAATAAGTGATTACTTTCGCTGTAGCATGTAAGCAAAGCACTCGTCCTTTGGCCTAGTGGCGTCACAAGGGGGGGAGTGGGGGGGGGGGGGGGGGGGGGGTGTTGCAGCGGGCTGCCGCCCCGGTGCTGCCATAGGTGCTGCTGACCCTAGTGACGCCACTGCTTAGGCCTAAATGTATTAGCTTCACTCAGTTTTTTTGGCTGATGAGTATTGCATGCCTGAAGGTACACCTTCAAACGTACTCACTGGAAAACTGACCAAAAGAAGTCAAAATACTCCGAGCCAATGTTTTGGTCGAAGGTCATAACCGCTAACAGTGTCTGTGTCTGCGTCGGTGGTTCAGTGGTAGAATACTCGCCTGCCACGCGGGTGGCCCGGGTTCGATTCCCGGCCGACGCATGTTTTTTGCTTTTTTCTCGGGTCCTTGTTTGATTTGAATTTTGCAGAGATATTGCTAAAATATACGAGACACCTGCCAAAATTCGTGCAACTTAAACTTTTAGCTCCCGTTCTCAGACTGTGTGCTTTCGAGTCTGCCATCGTAAACTTTTAGCTCCCGTTCTCAGTCTGTGTGCTTGCGGGTCTCCCATCGTGGAATTTCGGTGGTATTTGTTAGTTCGTTAATATATATCAACCAAAAAATTCACGCCTTCTGCGTGACGCCTCATCACTGCTCACGCGATTGTTTAATGTTTATGGTAGGAGAATTCGTGCGCCAAATAAATACCGGACCAAAACAAGTTTTCCCAGAGAGATGCCATCATCCTCATCATCGCCATGACTTCGCGGCTTGGAGAAAAGCTTTTTAAATAATACTTTGAGTTACAAAAGTGTCATAGAGGCAAGAAAACAGTACTCGTAAACTAGAACTGTAATATAAGGACCATTGTAATACGACAGTTGACATTAATCTAAAAAGAAAATACAGCGTAAAAAACACAAACGCGCAAATAGGCGCGAAGCCGTAGCCGACCAACGATCCACATCCAAGTCGTAAATATGCGGCTGACGCGGCTGAAGGCAGCTCAGAAAATGCTCAAAATGTCAGGATCCGCTGCAGGTACTACCACCGCAGCTGGTTCGCGAACCAATGCAACCCCCAATACTGCTTCTGCGACCATTCCCGCATCCGCCCCATCCACCGGTCCCACTTCAACGGGTGCCTCCAGCTCCACTCCCACATCGGCCATTGTTTCTGGGATCGCTTGCGCGGTTCCTCGATCCCCCAGCACCGTTTCTGCAGCGGGTGCCTTGGTCACACTGATGGCTGGCATAGGACCTGCACCTGCACCTTCGGGCGCCGTTGCTGTCGTTCTTACAGCAGGAAACACAGGTACCGCGTCCACCGCAACCGCAACTCCAGTCTCTGCCGCCTCTAGCGCGGCGGGAACTGGCGCCGCACTTCACGCGCCCGGTGCCTCGGTTGCTCCTACTAGTACTGGCGGTACATCAGCCCCCACCACCGCCGTTTCTGCAACTCCCACGTCGGTTACTGCGACAGCTACAACCGCTGCCGGGGGGTACCGAAGCTGGTGCCACCTCAGCAACTACCGATGCTCCGGCTGGCGGTACTGAAGCTACCGCCGCCGATGCCGCTGGTGCCACGCCCGCCCCGACCAGGGCTCCGTCCCCGGTCAGATACATAACTATCTTCAAAAATGTCCTGTTCGGAAGACGCGCCCGACAGGTGGTGCTGAACGTTTACGCTCGGCTCCGCTTGGAGCACCCGAAGGCATCGTACCGGGACATCGTGAAGCAGACGACTTACCTGACGGGCATACCTCACGCCACCATCTTCCGGTGGAAGAAGATCGACGATCCGTACGGCTCTGGCAAGCCGCCGCCGGTGAAGCGAAAGCGCCGCAAAAAGGACCCTTCCGCCAACCCGGAGAATGGCGTAAAGAAGGCTCCAAAGGCCAAACGTCAAAAGAAGGCGGCCGCGTCGGACCAGCCCGACGGGCAAGGGACCGCGAACCCCGGCGCTCCGAAGAAGGTCCAGCGCCGCAAGAAAGCGGCGGCTACGGGGCAACCGGGCGAGCCGGGGGCTCCGAACCCCGGTCCGAAGAAGGCCCCGCGCAAGAAGATGGTCCGCCTGGACAACCAGACCAACCAGCCAGTCCCCGGACCGGGCGGTCAGCCCATTCAGGCCAACAAGGTCCAGCGCAAGAAGCCCGTCCGCTGGGAGCAGCCACCGACCCACGTGGCCCCGCAGTCATTTGAACCCGTGCACTACCAGCCGAGGCAGTTCGCGCGCCTGGAACAACAGATCAGCCAGGCGACCGCGCAGTCCATTGACCCGGTGCACTGCCAGCGCAGGCCGTTTGTCCGCATGGATCATCAGCCCGACCCGGTGAACAGCGGACCGCCGCACGATCCGGGGAGTTCGGGCGGCTACGAATCGTGGTGGACATATCATTGAAGAGCTTGGGAGGGATTGCGGCGCAGAGATCAAGACACACGCCTCGCAAATGACAGGTCTTCAATTTAACATGCAAAACCATTGGCTTCTCTTCTTTTTTTTTTTCCCTGGAGCTTGCGAGGAACGAGAGCCTCAGAGGTGCGAAGTTAAAAGCATGGTGCCCGGAACGTATCTTCGACTGGCGTTTAACGTCCTATTCCGCCCTTACATCGAAGGTGATCCCAAAGTGGCAAACCGAGTTGACGCGTCGTGCTCCTGGATGTTGCGATCCCAGCAGTCAATCATAGAAATGCCCGCGAAAAAGGCGAGCGAATGCACGGGTTGTTGTTGCCGCCGCATAACGTCTCGTGTCGGCTTTGGTGTTTGTCGACAGTCTTGCTTGCAACAGAACACTCACCTGCCACATCCACCTCTGCCGACGTGCCACTGCTAGGATCGCAGCGGGCAACAGCCTGACACTTTTAAAACACCATCAGGCAGAAATCAAAGGACCACTTTTGAGGACGCGCTCCTGGCACCATAGTTAAGGGAAGCCGGAGGAATGCTCTCCAAAGCCCCTCGACGAGATCAAAAGTTGCAGTGTGCGTGAGGTGCTTGTCTTGTGCGGCCCCTGGGGAGTATGCCGCTAAACTCCACTGTCGAGGTAGCCGCCAGCAGGACAAGAATGGCAGGGAGGTCTTTCGGTTACACGCTGCCAAAGCACAGCAGAAAGCAATGAGCGGTTGCTGGAAGCTGGGTGCTCGAAAAAGACACCTTGCCGTTCTAGCCTTGTCGGTAACTGTTGTGTTCCTCCTTGACCTCGCACGTGACGAGCGCTTCGTGCATTCGCGCAACATTGCTTTTCACTGCTTTTACATGTACAGGTGCATAAACACGAATCTGTAGTGTTGGTGGACACCCTTCTAAGCAGTGGCGTAAGCAGAGGGGAGTATTTCGGGGTCAATATCCCCCCCAAGATGATCCATACTCCCTCCACCCGAACTTTTCATAGCCGATCCCCCTTGACGAAACAGAATTCTGGCTACGCCACTGCTTACAAGCGTATCTAGAGATGTCCTGTGTAGTCTTCTCTTTGACTCCATTGAGGAGACTGGATGTAGGCGTTCTTAATACTGCATGCATATTTTTCTCGAACACTTGTGAATGCTTGCTGGGCAGAAAGTTTGATGAGATTGAGCTACGCAGCGGCCCGATTTTGGGGCGTCGCTGGAATGCTTGCCCCATAGGACGACTGTTCGTTCTATGGCTTTGCCACTCGAGAGATTCCAATAGTTTTTTTTAGGTGTGAAGTTAGCGAGATCTGATTTTTACTCATTGTGTCAAGTTGAATGGATGTGAGCAACAATTTTACTGTCAAACCAGATTAATTTTTTTCCATATATGTTGTTTCATTTTTGTCTAGTGTTGGATCCTCATGTATCATTAAAAAAAAAGAAAAAGAATGCAATGTACTCCTTTTTTAAAAATTAAATGTGTCACAACATTACTTATTTTTATCCTCAACAGCACAGTGACAAACAAGGTTTTGTGATCACATTGGTGAAGAGTGTGCTTTTGAAAGTTCTTACTTATCTAACCTCTCACTAAATACACTGATAGCTAAGACTCTGCCCAAATGTAGCAGTAGTTATTGGGATCAGATGTAGCTACCAAAGAAAAACATTTGAAAAACCAACATTTAACTGCAGGAGCAGACAGAGGTGATGTATGTGTTACCTGGAAAACGCCATAAAACGGCCGTTCCCACAAAACCTGTCCAAGCACATATGCGAAGTGCAAGTGTTTTTGTGTTTTTTTGCAGGGGTTGGGATGGCGGAATGCCGAGCTCTGATTTGAAAGGGGGTAGACCTCAAAGCAAGGTGCTTTGAGGTCTACGCTTTATCCCCGCATAACAAAAAAATGACAGGACAAAGCTTGCTTGCGACTACATCCAGCTTGTTTATTTGGACGTCACGACCAAGAACAGTTTATAAACTAAGTATTGCATGGAACTGGAATGCTTGGAGAGTAAACAGAAACGTTCGTGAACACGAAAGACGGGCACATATGGCGCCTCACTTGCTCTTAGCGGCGTCACCCGCAGCTTTGGACGCTCCTTCGTGGTGAACGGTGATGGCCCTCGGCTTGTTGGGGTCTTCCTTCGGCGTCTTGCGCGGGGCCTCCACGGCCAGCAGTCCTCCGGCCGACAGACTAGACGTCACCGTGTGTGGGTCCACGTCTTCGGGCAGGACGTAGCGCCTCGTGAACTCGCGCTTGACGTAGGACCCAGTCTCGTCCGACTTCTCTTCGTGCTTGCCGTGGACAACGACGCAGTTGTCGACAGTCTTGACTGTGATCTCCTCCGGCGCGAAGTGACGGACGTCCACGCGAAGCGCGAACTTGTTCGGGTCACTCGCCTCGACGGCCTGGGATCCGCGTCCGCGCTGTTGGAGCTGCTGCTGGTTTTTGGGCTGGATGTAGAAGCGCTGGTGATAGAATGGCGGATCGAAGAGCTCACCGTCCAGGAAACTCGAGCCGAAGTCGTCGTCGAAGAGACGCCTCGCCAGGTCCGAGCCGCCGAAGAGAGGGAACAGTGCCATTGTCAGTGTTAGAAGGATCCTCACTTGACAGCGAGAGGCTGAACGTTTTCGACTCGTACGAGCGAAGGTATGTCACCACCTGTGGTCGGCACCCCCGCTCGATCCGTCGTTTTATAGGCCGTCGTCTGCTCTCCAGCGCACTCTGGAAAATTCGCCCACGTTAACAAGGCAGAAACAAAAACAAGAGCTGTGATTGGAGGGTCTCAGTCATGTGACACAAAATCGGCGCGCGACCACACACGACCGTTCTCGTCCTTTCCAGAATGTTCGGGAGCGTTCACCTTACATGAAACCTACTAGACCATTTACTTCTTTTCTTGGAATTGAAATGTAATTTAAACTACTCTACAAAGGTTAAAAATATTTACGTATTAAATTTAAAAAAAAAAAGACCGGATGCCGGACGCAGAGTAGTTGCTGCTAGCCGAAGCCAGCTTCGAATCCATGTCGAAGTCGCACTCCAGCCGACAAAGGAACGACGCTATGGTGGATCACGACAGCTGAGCAGATTCGAAATGTCAGGATCAGCTGCTGCGAACATCCCCGTCGCTGGTAGGGTTGCAAATACAGCAGCCACGATGGCAGCTATGCGCGCACCCACGTCTACCTATGTCCCCATAAGACCGAACCCTGCCCCTGCGCGTACCGCAACTTCAACTGGGCCTGCCCCCACTGCCCCCGCGCCAGCTCCGGTTGTTCCTTCGTCGTGTCGTACTACCACCGCTTCGTCCGCGCCCAGGCCGGTCACAACCACGAGCGTCACATCAGCCTCGACCACGGCGACAAAAACTACGGTCAGTGGAGCACCGACTACCACTTCGACCGCCACTGCTCCCGCGGCTGGTACGGCGACTACCAGCGAAGCCGGTCCCTCTGGTACCGAGAGCACCACGACGGATCCTGCCAAACCTGCGAGACCACCGTCCCCGGTCCGCTACCAGACCATCTTCAAAAACGTCATTTTCGGCAGGCGCGCTCGAGAAATAGTGATGAACGTTTACTGCTGGCTTCGGCTCGAGTACCCAAACGCTTCCTACAACGAGATCGTGAAGCAAGCCACGCTTCTGACGGGAGTAGCGCCAGTTACCATATACCGATGGAAGAAGAACGTGAATCTCTTTGACCCGGACGAGAAGCCGCCGCCGAAGCGTCGCCGCAAGAACGCCTCGGCGGCGTCGGCCAACGGGGTCAAGAAAGTTCGGAAGAGCCGGAAAACCCCGAAGAAGGCCGCGTCCGGGGAGCCCGGCGAGCCCGGTGACGCGAACGCCCAGCAGTCCGCGGGCGAGAAACCCAAAAAGCGTCAACGCAAGAAGCAGCCAGTGCGCGTTGGAAACCAAGCCAGCAAAGCGGGCGTCGGAGCGGGCATCGGAGCAGCCGTCGGAGCTGCCGTCGGAGCGGCCGTGCCGCCTGCTCAAGCCGCTGCGAAGGCTCCGCGCAAGAAGGCTGTGCCCGTTGCACGCTGCGAGCAGCAGTCCAGCTACGTGCCACCGCAGCCTGTGCAGCCTGCCCACGGGCACTATGAACACAGACAGTTCACACGGCTGGAACCACGCATCCCCAACCCCAATCAAATGCACGGCGGTCAAACAACGGCGCAGTCGTTCGATCCGCCGACTTCGAGTGGTTACCAGTCGTGGTGGACGTACCATTAACTCTGGGGGAAGACGCTGTGCGAATGAGAATGAAAAAAAAAAAAGGAGTACTACATTGTACTACGGGATGAGTTGATTGACTCAAACGTCAGGTCAGAAGCTGCGAACGCCTTGCTTTATCGTTGTAATGAGGTACCACCTGCTTGGCAGTATTGTATAATAAATAAAATGAGATTCATTTGCCTCGTGATGGAGGACGAGTTATTCCCAGCGATGCTTCGAGCATTTAAAGTTGCCACTTCAAGAATGTATGGCATATATATTCCTCGGATGAAATGGGCTACTCGAATCTAGTGCTACAAACAAAAACCAAAACAAAAGTTTGGATTGGGGATTCTCTTGTCACCTTTGTCGCGTAGCGAAAGCAGCGGATGCACAAACATTAAACGTGCTGCTTTGCATAACAACAAACTTAAAGTCACGAACGCTTGCGCTGGTAAACAGTGCGCTAAAAGGACGATAAAATTTGAATTAAATTCGAATTAAATTTGCAGAAGCGAAAGAGTGAAGTTTGAATCCAGCTGACAATCCGAGCGCAGCCAGGACCGCGCGAGTCGCGTGACGGCGTTCGAAAATGTCAAAATCCGTCCCTCCTGTTGCGGCTGCTTCCACCGTTCCCGCAACTGCTGCTACGACGGTCGCTGTAAGTACAACCGGTACAACTACAGTTACTAGAATGGCTGCAGCCACGGCTAAGGATGTTGTCACCGCAGCGACCGCAAATTCTACCGTGGCAACTGCGCCGCGAGTTCCGCGCGCCGTTTTTCACCAGCTTTGCCCCAACGCCACTCCCATTGCCACGGCAGCGACTTCAGCGCCTGGTGCTGTGGCCACAGCGTCTGAAATTCCTACATGTGAATCTGCCAAATCTGCTACGCCACCGTCGACTGCTAGAGTTGCTACGTCCTCAGCAAATGTTCGGTCAACTACAACTGTGTCGACTGCTTCGACCGTTCCGTCTGCTACACCTGCTACGCCGTCTGCTACTGCAACGGCCTCCAGTACTCAAAGAGACCTTTCCCCGTACCGTTACCAAACGTCATTCAAACATGTTCTCTTCGGACGGAGAGCACGGCAGGTCGTGATGAACGTCTATTCCCGCCTTAGAATAGAATGTCCGCACGCGTCGTACAACGATATTGTGAAGCAGACGACGCACCTCACCGGAGTATCGCACAGCACCATATTTAGCTGGAAAAAGATTGTGGACCCCATCGATGATGATATGAAGTCGCCACCGAAGATGAGGCGCCGCCGCAAAAATGCCTCGTCATCCCCCTTGAAGGGTTCCAAAATAGGCACGAAAGAGTCGCGCGAAAAGGAGCTAGGTGCGGAGCAACAGGCCGTACCAAAGAAAGTACGACGAAGGAAGGCCCTGTCTTTGGATGGTACAGAAGCCTACCAAGTAGCCGTCCCGCCAGCCAAGTCAGCAAAGGTTCAGCAGAACAAACCTGCTGCCTCAAACAACGAGGGGAGCCAAGTAGCCACACGATCCGCGAGAGCTACAAAGACTGAACTCAAGAAAGTAAATCCTGTAGAGCGTCCATCTAGTCAAGAGACCACTCAATTCGTCCAACACAGCTATCGTCGACTCAATCAGACTACATACCAGACTGACCGGGGAACCGCAATATCCTCAGAACCTTGGAAGAGTCGTATTATGCGGCGAGCCAATATGGAACAAGCTGACCAGTTAGCCATGACATATGCCAAACCTTGGAGTAGTCAATCAAATCAAGTCATTCATTATGAACAACCAAATCAAGCAAGCACACAGACTTGCAAACAAGGGGAAAGAGGCCCATTCGGCCAATCCGTTCCTTGCGAACAACCAACAAATCAAGCTAATGTACTGGCTGCAGTTTCTGTAAGAGATCCATGCAATGAGCCTTTACATTGTGACCAACAGACTAATCCGGTGGGCACACATGCAGAACCGAAGGCACCGAATCAGTGCCAGGTATGGTGGACCACAAAGTGAGAAGATCAGACAAACTTTGTAAGTTACAGCAGCTTAATATTTATTTTTTTTTCCCCTCAAGTGCCTTTTTTGTTGTGCAATTCTTTTGTCAGAGCTAGGAGCTCTGACACACAACACTTTCATGTTTGCTTGAACGAAGATACCAGCCATCTGTGCCAGGGCATTAGCTGGTGCTTTGCTATGCCACCTGGGATGTTCCATCTAATTTGCAAAAAGGGGAGTAAAACTCCCATTCTGTTGTTGTGAACAGGATATTGACTAAAGAACACAAAATGGGATTATCCGATTTTCTTATCTTGGAGTCGTTTTGCCTGCATTTTTTGCTTTTTATCCAAAGGATAAGGTCGTGACCTTATACTCTGCATCAACTATTTTGCGCTTGTTGTCAAGGTTAGTGTAGCTTCTACTGTGCTTCAACGCTTTCAAAGCTACTTGCACAAGTGCATGCGAACGCAAGAAGTAGTCATGTGCACATGCTGTCGTAGCAGTGCATGGCTACAGCACTGTAGAAGCTATGCTAGCCTTAGGAACTTAACGCAAAGTAGTCGATGCCAAGTATAGATCTCCATTTCACAACCGAGTGGTACTTATGTTTCCCGAAATCACCCGTCCTCTGGAATTAACAAAGTAATAAGTAAAAATAAAGATTTCTTTGCTTTAAAACCATCACACATTGCTTATTTATTGAGTTTGATTTTGTCAGTGATGATTGAAAATTTTATCACACTGCCCCATAATCTTCACTTTGACTCCCATGACCCCAGCTACTAGGAGTTGACTGCGCGGAGCAAAGGTCACGGGAGTCACGATGTGGTACTTCATTGTTTGCACCAGGTCCCCCAAAGGTTCATGCAGTGTTCTCAGTAACACTGTAAACACTTTCCTTTTTCTTTATTCACAACCACACGCAAGCCATGAGAAGAACACACAATCTATGCGGTTTGCTAGCACTTCAAAATCTGTCTTCCTGCCTGGCTTCTAGCACTGCCACATAATTTTGAAGCTGTTACGCCAGCGTGTCCTGCCTGTGTATGATCTTCCGTGCTTTTACCAGCCCCTCTCAAAGTACCGTTGCATCCTGTACTGTTTCTGGGGCGGCGATTGGATTGCCTGCATCTGGTAGGTCACTTAGAAGAAAACTTGCGTGTTGAGAATGTGCCATACACCCATGACCCGTTATACTTCGTTCACCTCAGGCTCTTGGGGCAATGGGAGCTATGTGCTCGTCGGACCCATCGACCGCCTCCCTATCATCGCCCAACCCCACACTCTGCGTGCGGGTGTGGGCGGGAACGCGACCATCTGGAGTAAATTGACATACGACTGATTCAATCTAGCACGTAGCTCGGCCAGATATTGCTTTCTCTCTCTTGACCCCCCCCCTCCTCACCACAGCCACCACTTCAAAATTTTGGAAGTTTCTCTGGCTTCTGGCGCTTCCACATAGCACCTGCCCAGTCCCATCCCCCCCTCCCCCCGACATAGCCATTCCTCACAGTCCGAGGAGTGGCAGTGGTGAGTTACAAGCACATCGCACTGAGCAAAGTAGATGGAAGGCCGCAGCAGCATGAGAACAGCACAGGGTGCAGGACCCCATGCATGGGAAGTGTTGTGTAAGCACCATTCACATATGTACAACTACTCTACTAAAAGCAAAGCTCCTAAAGCGAATTTCCCAAAGCTCGTCGACCACAAGCAAACCTCCTAAAGCTTGTCTTTCAACACGGCAACAGCTGCCGCTGTCAATTGCAGCACACTTTGTGCGATCGTTTTGCAATTTCTTTTATTCCCACAAGGTGACCTACCGGACGAGCCCGCCGTAGAGTCTGGCAAAAGATACGAATCTCTCGCAAGACTCTGGAGCTTGAACCTGTAGAACCGTCAGGGGTGGCATTCGTGGAATCTTTTTGCATTCCTTTGCAGCTTGTTTGTGGCGCTGCTTTGTGTGCTTGACCTCTCGTGGCTTCATCTGGCACGGAACTGCAAATTTCTTCAGCCTGAAGGAACGAACGTTGATTTGAAATGCGTGGCGTTCATAGGGCCGCCGCTTAGTGGCTTCATGTCCGTGCCTGGAATGCAGCCTCAGTGTCACGATCTGACACCACATCATGCAACATCATGATGTCATTGCGTGACGCCAGGCATCACCACGATGTCATGTTACACTGACATCATGTGACTGATGTCCTGCGACACCCATTACAGAGGAGCTATGAATGCTACGAAGCAGTGCCTTTGGGATATGCCGAAGGGATGGGGAGTTTTTATTTAGCCATTCCAGTAGAATGGCTACACCTTGCCTGTGGATCGGGTATAGGTACATTTGTGGACAGGCTATGCTCAGGTGTGGCAACGAAGCAGATAAACTACCTGCAGAAACAATGTCCAGATGTGGTGATATTTGTATCTCCAGTGTAGGACACATACACTGGAGATGGCTAGCAGGCTAGCAGTGTAAGTATGACATAGACATTGGAGAATTGAATATTACCGCATCTGCTGCTGATGCAGTCTAGACGTTCTTCCAGGTGACCCAAGCACCAAGGGGAATCCTGTGAACATATATGTGCACGCTTTGTGCATGCTTGCCTTATTCGTATAAAAGGTTCAAAGTAAACACGAAAATCAGGTGCTCACGAATGCATGTGTAAAGTGCTCTTAGACCTAGATTCGTGCTTCAGAATAGTTACCGCTGCAGACGCCAGCACGTGCAGCGCGTATAGCAACACTCTCAGCAGGATCCTGGGTGCTTGGGTAATTTGGTAAAAGGTCTATTTGCAGTACTAGTAATTAGCATCTTAAACAAGACCGGTCATCTTAGGGCAGTGGCGTACCAACTTGTTTTTAAGTGGGGGGGGCAAACACCCCCCCCCCCCCCCCCCTGGGGGCTGGGGGGTGGTGCCCCTGGTATCTCTTAGGCGTCGCCGGCCAGTGTTTGCCCTGCCCAGTGGCGGCTGTTTCAAGGGGGGGCAAGACACATGCCTTGCCCCCACTCGGAGAGCTGGAGGGGGGGGCAAGCGCCCCCCTTGCACCCCTGGTTGGTACGCCCATGTCCCAGGGTAATTCTGGAGATTTCTACTCAGTAGTGTTTGGCAATTAAAGGCGAATTCCATTCAAGCGAAAGTTCCAACGAAAGTGTAAAATTTTTTTGTTCCCACCAAAACAATCTTGGGTTATCTTTCTTTAAAGCATGACAGGTAATAGTGCCTAAGTGTGTTAACACACCACAGCTCCGAGCACATGGATCCATGTGCTCAGTCGTGTATCACAATTGCATGTGGCGCACCTTACCAGGCTAGTGCCCCGACCAAATTTCTCATCCACAGTTGTGGGATTTTGCTAGCTACCAACACAGGTACCGATAGAGTAACCAAAGGGTTGCCTCAACAGCGGCGGCAATCTCAAAGGAGACGTCAAACCTAGTAGCGCGGTCCCCACAACTTCGCGGCAATATAGACAACATTTAGGGCTACATTACCGCGGGTCGGTTCGATTAATTACCTCCGTTGGTGCCAATGATCGTCTATCTTGTCTCACTCTCTTGAATATAGCGAAAGAGAAGACACACATACCAAAGTAAGGACAGAGTCCAAGAGCATTTATTATAACTCTCTTAAAAGAACTACCATGTCCCCATCCCAAAATGCCCCCCGCGCCGGCAAGGTAAGAAAAGGTCCTTACCTGGCCAGACGCGGGGTTCTGGAGAGCCAAGACTGGGGAAGCATCGGAGAAGTCGCTGACACACGTCCTATCTCTTTCGCGATCACCCGGACGAGTCCCTTTCCCGAAAGCGGGAAAACAAGAGGCGAAACCTCTTCGCCTGTCAGCCGTGATCCGCATCCAAGCGGGGGGACGGAAATCGGTACCCCTGAGAGAGAGTGAGAGAAGGGCCCCTCCCCAAGGCAGGGGACCCTCCGCCTCATGTATATAACTCTCTAGCCACCCTACCTCACGAACAGGTCGGAGCTCACGGCGAAGGAGGCCAAGTGTTCCGACCCGCGGCCGTTATTACAGCCCTCGGGGAAGGGAGACCACAGGAATCCCCACATCCCCCCCCCCCCTTCCCCTCCTTAAAGGGGTACTCCGCCGATTTTTGAGCTACCTCAACTAACTATATTTTCTGACTCCCCGGCCTTTACCCTTTCTGGTATGCTATTTAGTATCGTGAAATTCATAATAGTTATTGCGAAATCGGCAAATGAAAATGATGCAAAAACCGACATTCAAATATACCCGCCCTTTTCAGTGCCGTGACATCAGTGGAAGGTCAGCTTGCCAGTCGGGCGAGCAGTCTAAAAAATAGAATATGCCAATCATTTGTTCCGTGCTGAAGAGCGGGTCCTGGAGCGAGCTTCCAAAGCATTCATTTGACACCATGAATCTGCTTCGAATCAGTTGGGAACAAATTCTACAGTCCAAAAAGTGAACCCCTGCCTTCCACTGACGTCACTTTTTCACTGTTGCCAGTAGAGACTTTCAGTTTGAAAAACGCGGTGAGGACCAAAATTGTAAATTCAATAACTTCGTGAAAAAAAAGAATATTTTGACCCAATATTTGGGATACTATTTTTGCGATGTTGTTTGGCGAGTTTAGCGAAATTTCAAGCAAATCGGGGACCATGAAGAAATCGGCGGAATACCCCTTTTAAGGGGCCCTGCAATCATATATAAGCGTCCACCTTTTTTGCGGTTTCCACGTCTCTTGGGGTTCAGGCAAGCCAGCGGGCACGGAGAGAGTAACTAAATATCAGTGCGTCATATTTTAACCGGACGATGCGGAAACCTCCTCCACCGACGAGGGCGACCTGCAGTACCGAAAGCGGGCAAAATGTGACGTCTTTGGTCCTGGGCTTACTACTGGTCAGAGCCGCTAAAAGCTTCTTTTTAGTCGAAATACAAAATATAAGTGGCGCGAACCGTTTCAATTCTTTATAAAAGTAGTTTTTGTTCAGTATTTTAGTTAAAAAAAAGAAACAAATGCAGTTCATAAAGTACGGAAACAAGAAATGACCCGCCGACATACCCGCCATCAAGCGGCGGAAAAGGCGACGCATAATAGAAAGGAGTAGTGGGATCAGGCGCCGACACGGAAAGGTCACGGATGTACGTGGCAGCGCTGCGCTCGTTTGGGCAGGAGGATCCGACCGGCTCCAAGCGTTCCGAAGGCCTTCGGGGAAAAGCTTTGTCTTGCGGTTTGGCCGTTTCGCGGTATGGCAGCGCAAAGCAGCTCCCATTGTGAACTGATCTTTAGCCCGTGTTTGCTGTCGTTTGTGGCCAATGAAGTGTCATGCCGAATTAGTATTTAATCGCGCAGCGAATGCAATGAGAGCCGCTCTGGCTGCCCGCTGCATACAGCCTATCCAGAACATGCTTCAATGTCGCCCTCTTGCGCCGTCGACTCAGAGTGCGGCAGCCGTGAGCGCTCGATAAGCTCACTACCCCTCTTCTAGTTGACGGCCACTCTCAAGCAACCAAGGACGTCATGAGGGAGGTTATTTTTTGCTTGCTTTTGTAATTTTAATTTGCCTATAACTTTTAAAATAAAGGGAATTTCAAGAAAAGAAAAGTTTCACTAAGTTACTACATTCAGTGCGCTCAGGTTCGGTGCAAATTAAAAATTAGTAAAAAAATCATTGCAGGGCCCCTTTAAAACGGTAGGTGGATTTCAATAAATATTAAAGGAGGCCCACCTGCTCTCATAAAATAATATCTCTCTGCGCACCCCCAACAAATACACGCGACACCCAGCGCGCGTCTTCACAGTCTCTGCCGTCAACAGCTGGCGCGCAGGACCGAAAACCCGAAAGTTCGTCCAGGTGCACGAACGCGGCCATCACAACCTTCCACAGCATCACAGGCGCGTGCTGATACAACTGGACACAGGTGTCGCGGTACGAGCTGGCCTGCAGTGGGGGGCAGCCAGGCGGTCGTGAAGGCGGAAGCACCAAAAAGACCAACGACCGCCGCCCACCAGCGGAGACCAGCTGGGGAAGTCCCAGACACATCGCCCGAGGGGTTCGGCGCCATCTCGGCCGCAGTGGGCTGATGAAGGGGGGTGGACAACCTCGGAGCAGACCTGCAAAGTCGTAATGCGCCAGCAGCCAACACGCCCAGAGCCGGCTGTAGACCTCCCGAAATGAAAAAAAGGGCGCCGCAACCTCCAAACGAGGGGGCGCGCGGAACCGTCGCTCGCCTGCCGGGCCGCAAAGGCGGCAGAAACGGGCAGAAGAAAACGACAAACAAACCCCACAAAAAAGGTGGCCAGTTTGTCAACGGTGACAGGAAGGCACTCAGTTGAGAAACGGACCCGACGAGCGGTCAGAGGACATATGCCAGAGTGACACGCTTCGACACCGGAAGAAGAAGCCATAAAAAGGGGCCCCTCCGTTCGAAACGCGTCCACATGCCAAGCAAACTAATTGAGTTTGCTTAATGTGGGCACCGGGGAGAGAGCTTCTAGGAAAAACGCCGAGTTCTCAATCCTTTGCACAGGCAGCTAACAAAGAGGCTGCCTACGGGTGAAGCAGACATTTCGTCGAACGCCATTTCATCGAGAGCCATTTCATTGAATAAACGGACATTTCATCGAACGCCGTTTCACCGAACGCCGTTCCATCAAATCGCTAAAACCCATTTCATCAAATTTCTCTGTTATGGCTCTGTTCCGAGTTTTGGGGCATAACAGGGCTTTATAGATGCTTCACCTTGCATTTGTTAAGAGTAAGCTTAGTCACTGGTGAAATTGTTTTGAAGGTGGTGCAAATTACTATAAATAAAAACAATTGGCATAAAAGGAAATAAAAACAATTGGGTATGCGACTTACTGAAAAGCTTTACTCATGTACATACATGACTGAAACCACGACACTGCAAATAAAGGACAGACACTTAAAACACTTTTAAGTGTCTGTGCTTTCTGTTTTTGTCTTATTTTTAATTGTTTCATGTGACATGGAGAGGGGTCATTGTTTCATGGAGGCTTTCTTCTCCAAGCAGGATATGTTCACGATGGAACTTATCTCGTCACTGCACCCCAAGATATAAAAACAGAGAAAAAAAAGAAAAAAAAAAGAGAGAATTAGATGACGTTGTGTATAAAAATGAAAGTAAATTCCAAAATATTACAGACCTTAACGTTGTTCGATGAAAAGGCGTTCGATGAAACTGCTTCTATGAAATGGCATTTGAGGAAACGGCGTTCGATGAAACGGCATTCTATGAAACGGTGTTCGATGAAATGTACGGACGCAGCTGCCTACGATACCCGGTTTTAGAGTTACCGGAAGAGTCCATTGACTATAAGTGGCCAAAAACAGATAACAGTCTGCAGCTTCTGAAGTCGAGGTAAACGGAAACGGGGACTTCGAAGGGGCGAATGGAAACAAACCGCCATGCATGCGCGTCTGCGAACGGGGAAGATGCAAGATCCCGTGCAAAATAGCCGCCATCTTGCTCCCCACGGAGGAAGACAAAAAGGGCTGCAGCTCACACGCTCAAACCTGCTAGCTTCGCCAGATATTCGAGCTAGCTAATTTACCGAGGCTAGAAAAACATGTCTTGCACTCGATACGGCTTGATCGAGGGCTCACAACGGAGTGGAACCTTCTTTTGAGAGTATTTACTACGGTTGATTGAATGTAATTTCATCGAAGCACGCTTTAGAGAATGGGCACGTTTTATCGAAGCGCGGTTTAGAGAAAGCAGAACGTCAGTTTAGAGAAACGCCATTTATCGAAAAGGGGACGCTTTTTAAAAAAAAACTTTCCTACTTCTCGCGTGTATCACTGCTGCGCGTGTTAAGCCGAGCCCCCCGCTGCGCTCCCGCCGCTTCGCGGCAGCAGTCTGCGGCGGCTCATTACAAAAATGTTAACTCACCTGACTTACCCGTACACGCCGCTTTGCGGCGGCCGAATTCGCTAAAAGGAAGCTCATCGCCATTTGCTCTAAACTGGGTTCTCTATAAAGGCATTCGATAAACCGGGGTCGGTAAAACGGCGTTCGCTAAAACAAGCTTCTCTAAACCACACTCCTCTGCTTTTGAGGCAAGGCCAGGTTTCAGAGCAACGTAACTGCGAAGAGTCTTAGAGTCACTCTTCCACCTGGATCACGCGAGTCTGACAGATATCGCCAAAGGGCACTCTGGCTACATGGCGCCCGGGTTTCAGAGAAACATAACCTCCGAAAGTCTTAGAGTCACTCGTTCACCCAGATACTGTCACAGTGCGCCCCAGACCGCGTAGTGCCACCACCATGAACGCAAAAATAGTCATGTTGAATATACCTGACTGGGGTAGAAAAAAACATAAAAGTCGAAGAAACAGAACGGGACAGGACGACGTCTCAAACTCAGCTACCAGGTTTATTCAGTCCTCCTCCTTATATAGTCCACAAACAGCCCACCACCAACACAAAGGGGCAACTCTAACCAGTTCAACCGCCAAACCCTCCAGACAGTCACTACCAACACAAAGGGACAACCTCTAAGCAGTCCAAACGCCAAACCCTGTAATTCCAAGCTAGCGCTATGGACGGCCTTCATGCCGATTCACAAAGATAACTCAGCAATCTCCCCCAAAATATAACAAAAGGACCATTACCTCTTCCAAAGTAACAAGGATCCACAAACACATACACAAAAAAACAAAAAAAAAAACTTTTTTTACTTAAACTGTTTCCCTTTCCTCCTCGACGAAAGGATGACACGCACTTAACCTAAAACGGTGCAAAAGTGAACAGTACAGCATTTCCCTCTTTCCACCCAAAACAAAACAAAAAAAAATATATATATATATATACATATATATATATATATATATACATATATATATAACTATATTTTTAAAAAACTTTTGGAATTTTTACCGAACTGTAGCGACGCCTAGCTTATGCAATTACCTAAAGACTTTATTCGCACCGTCTCCCTTACTAGCCTTTTCGTATCATTCTTCTCCTTGTGAATGATTTCTGCCTCCGACCAAATAGCAGTGCAGTTGTTACATTCGTTGACATGTTTTGCGATTTCTGAGTTTGGTGCATTGCTCTTCACGTTTCTTTTGTGTTCACTTAATCTGCCGTTGATGCATCGTGATGTTTGTCCTACATACTTAAACCCGCATTCCAGTAGTATCTCATACACCACACCATTCTCGCAATCTACCGATTTTTCTCGACGGTTCTTTTTGCAATTGTTCGCACCTGTTTGAAATGGCGTCAATCTACTAAGATTTTTTCTACCCCAGTCTCAGGTATATTCAACATGGTTAACATCCACCAGCTCGCCTGCACCCTTACTATTGTATCTCTGCAAAACTAGTGTCGTTTTTGGAAAACAACAACAGGCTGCAGGAGTACGTTGGCATCAAGCAGATACAAATCTTTCCCGAAGAAAAACCCTCCGCGCCCGCTGCAATACCAGCAGTGAATACAGCACGCGCGTCAACAGTGTGCAAACTGTCCTAAATATGGCGGAGCCTCCTCAGTGGGCGAGGGCTTGGGCCACTGGCGGGACCGCCGTGAAGCAGTGTGCTTGGGTGGGCCAGGTGGGTTAACATTTTTGTAATGAGCCGCCGCAGACTCGCCATGAAGCAGCTTGAACGGGGTTAAGTTCCTGCCGCTACCCACAGAATGTAATAATCTGACAAACAAAAATCTAATGCTGTACTAAGGCAGCAATTTGGATGGGTTGGTATACGTTATTCGTGGTGAAAAGCAGCTCAAAAACGAAGGCGACGAGAAGGAACAAACACGACAGGACAAAGCTGTACTCGCAACTGAAGTTTTACTAGTAAAAAATATTAAAGGAAACCGCATATGCAAAAGAGATAACAGAAACCAACAACAACCACCTACTCATCTATCAAGCACAACACTAACATAAGTGCTGAGTAACCTCAAAAACCACTTTTCATATTCGCTTGCAAAAAGCAAACCTCTTTATCAGAAAAAGCCATGGACAGAGCGCTGACAGATAGATCCCCCAACTGGAAATTGCTTTTTCCCTCTCTTTAGCCAGGACACCAACTTTACCAAAATCCAACACACACTCGCAACTACTGCAATGTGTTGCCAAATGCCCCCCCCCCCCCCCCCCCCCCCCCACAACAGTGGCCTGCAGTGAATAGGAATGCTCTCTAAGCCTGTCATTGAGACAGCTCCCCATCTGCCCCACATAAAACTTATTACGAGATAAAGGGATTTTGTGAACAACAGACGAAACGCAAATCACAAAGTGTTTTTGGTGCGCTGTAGAGCAGATGGCTTTCTGGCGACTAGCCCCGTCACCAACCCTAGAATACAATTGGTTCAATTTCTGAGGCTCCCAGAACACTACTGGTATGCTGTACCTGCCTCCAACTTTCTTCAGGTTATGGGAGATTCGATGTAGGTACGGAACGATGACCATGCATTTTCTGTCAATTTCCCCTTTAGCCTTCTCCACACCTTTGACCTTCTTCAAAAGGGAACTTGCTACCTCCGTCAGAAGCTTCACCGGAAACCCCGACGTCATTAGCCTCCCTACCTGCTCCTGAAAACTGTCATTCATCATCTGGGCACACGACTTCTTAAGAACCGAAGAGGGACACGAGACAGCAATCCCTCTCTTCACCACTCTGGAATGTGAAGACCAATAGGCAAACTCATGTTTACAGACAAACCGGAGCGCCCCTAGCGGACGCCACCGGCGGGGCGCATGCCCGATGGGGGTGTGGGCAAGGAGCTCGCCGTCGCCCATAAACAAACCATTGTATTGCGATGTTGTCGGCGTCGGTTTTGAGTCTTCCTGCCCTTTTTCGCGTTCGAATTGTTGATTCTACGTCTTTTTGGCAATGCCTGACTATTTGAGCTGCCTCAACAAAATTAACGAGGCTCGTTACACCGCAAAACTTCGCCTGAATAATGTGACATGCGGAGATTCATTCCGCATGGAAGCTTCAGAATGTACGCTAAACCCTGATTCGCATGATAAGATTTCGCTCGCAATTTTCAGTCGCCACGTCACTCGGGCTACAAAAACGTGAACCGTATCTCAGATGGTCGACGTCGATACTGAAAATCGCAAGCAGAATCGGACCAAGTGAATACGGCATAACAAGTCGGTGATGGCCACTGGTGACAATTATCAATATATCCTTGTATTTACTGTTTACGCCGAGCCTCCTTACCAACCTTCAACCTTAAGTCTTTTGAGGCCTGCACTTACTTCTTATCGCAAGTACTGGGCCCACAATTGGTCCACGGACCGGTGTCGTCTAAAAGAGCAGACGACAAGCAGAAACGTTTGAAAGAGCAGACGACGGTTCGAACGATCAGGCGGCCGTTTGAACTTGAAGACGCACTGAACGTAGTCCGCAGGTGGTCCGTACAACTTGGCGGTTTTCCGGCATTCATGTTGGAACAAAACAAATAAATCCAACAACCACAAGTATCCGTGAATTCAAGCCAAAGTGCTTCCCGCCCAAGTAATTGTGGTCCGACGGCGTCTGGTTTTCCCTTTTCACGGCATATATCCCCGTTCTTGGACGAACCGAGCACATGAAAACTGGCCCTCAAACCTTTCTCGACTCTTTTGGTACAGCCCCAGTCGCGGCGTTTTGACGAGAAGGCAGGTTTTTGTCTGGTTCCTTTCAAAACAACGCAGGAATACACGTCTCACACGGGGACTTCTGCCAACAGCCCCAGACCGGAAATGCGCCCGACGCGCCACCACTGCGCCGTGACGTAACAGATATGAGTTTGTGTATAGTCCAGCATTGGCTTCTTAGAACAGGGTCTGTAAGACCAACACATGTGAATCTCCCCCCGGCTGACCGGCAGGTCTAAAAATTGGAGTACACCTGCTTTAGGTTCCTCAAACGTGAAACTAAGTCCCCCACCACACTTACTGAAAGCTTCCAAAACCATATTCTGCGTGTGTCGACATTCCATGAGCTTTTTCGTAGAGGACTAAAAAGTTTACGAAACGGAACACTTTTTTTACTGCAGAAGAACATATGGCACTTTTTACAGGTCTGCCTACCTCAGCACGGAAAATATCGCTCAAGATTAGCGCCACGCATGACCCAATGCTCACACCTTTTTCTGAAGAAACATCTTATCATGCCAGTCAACCATCATGGAGCTCAAATAAAATTGTAACAGCTCAAGGAAGCCTTCTAGAGAGACACCGCTAGCGTTTCTGAATCCTAGTTTCTTGTTAGACTCAATGCATGACCTCACCCAGGATAACAGCTGGTTGTGGGGCAAAGAATAAAACAAATCTTCAACATCCACACCAAAGGCTGTCCGCTTTCCTGCCTGTATATCTTTAAAGAACTACTACTGCCTTAGTGTTGTGCACTCAGTAAGAGTCTCTGACATCTAAGGGCGACAATTGCTTCTGGAGGTACGAAGCCATCTGACACTGCCAAGTGCCCTTTTCGGTAACAATGGCCCTAAATGGCCAGAGGTCCTTTTGCGTTTTGGCACTGAAAAATATGTCGAGATGCAGGCCAAATGATTTTTTAATCCTCCCTTCCAGCTGCTTCAGAGAAAGGCTATCGCATAACTTCATTGCCCTCTTTTCACCTTGCTCAACGCTACGTCCACTTGTTTAAAGTTTTTGTTCATGGTGGCACTAGCTTTTTCACAGAAAACTCCCTCTGGCATAACCACAAACGAACGCTCCTTGTCAGATACCAAAACATGCAACCCGCTGTCTACCAGGTACTTGACTAAAGACTTCAATCCCACCTGTCCACGAAATTTCTGAGAGTGTAGAGAGTCCATGATAAGTGGGATTGAAGCCTTTAGTCAAATACCTGGTAGACAACAGGTTGCATGTTTTAGTGTCTGACAAGGAAGGTTTGTTTGTGGTTATGCCAGAGGGAGTTTTCGGTGAAAAAGCTAGTGCCGCCATTAACAAATATTTTAAACAAGTGGACGTAGTGTTGAACAAGGTAAAAGAGGGGGCACTGAAGTTATGCTATAGCCTTTCTCTGAAGCAGCTGGAAGGGAAGATTAAAAAATCAGTTGGCCTGCATCTCGACATATTTTTCAGTGCCAAAACGCACAAGGACCTCTGTCTATTTAGGGCCATTGTTACCAAGGGGCACTTGGCAGCGTCAGATGGCTTCGTACCTCCAGAAGCAACTGTCGCCCTTAGATATTGGAGACCCTTACCGGGTGCACAACACTGAGGCAGTAGTAGTTCTTTAAAGATAAAGAGGCAGGAAAGTGGACAACCTTTAGTGTGGATGTTGAAGACTTGTTTTATTCTTTGCCCCACAACCAGCTGTTATCCTGGGTGAGGTCATGCATTGAGTCCAACGAGGAACTAGGATTTAGAAACGCTAGCGGTGTCTCTCTGGAAGGCTTCCTTTAGCTGTTTATTTTATTTGAGCTCCATGATGGTTAGCTGGTGCGATAAGATGTTTCCTCAGAAAGAAAGTGTGAGCATTGGGTCATGCGTGGCGCCAATCTTGAGCGATATTTTCTTTGCTGGGGTAGACAGAGCTGTAGAAAGTGCCATGTGTTCTTCCGCCTTAAAAAAAGTGTTCCGTTTAATGGACTTTTTAGTCCTCTATGAAGGATCGAGCTGATGGAAGTTACACTCGGAATATTGTCTTGGAAACTTTCAGTAAGTGTGGTGGGGGACTTAGTTTCACTTTTGAGGAACCTAAAGAAGGTGTACTACAATTTTTAGACCCATCGGTCAGCCGGGGGGAGATTCACATGTGTTGGTCTTACAGAGCCCGTTCTAAGAAGCCTGTTCTGGACTACCGGTCTTGACATTCCAAAGTGGTGAAGAGAGGGGTTGCTGTCGCGTGTCCCTTTTCGGCTCTCAAGAAATCGTGTGCCCATACAATGAATGACAGTTTCCTGGAGCAGGTAGGGAGGCTAACGACGTCGGGGTTTCCAGTGAACCTTTTGACGAAGGTACCAAGCTCCCTCTTGAAGAAGGCCAAAGGTGTGGAGATGACTGAAGGGAAAATTGACAGAAAACGCATGGTCATTGTTCTGTACCTATATCGAATCTCCCATAACTTAAAGGAAGTATGAGGGAGGTACGGCACACCAGTACTGTAATAAAACTTCAGTTGCGAGCACAGCTTCATCCTGTTGTGTTTGTTCCTTCTAGTTGTTTCCATTTTTTAGTTGCTTTTCACCATGAATCAAATGCTGCACAGGAAAGCCTCTACTACGGTTGCTCCACACCTCCATTAGCCGCTAGCCAACTGTGCTTATGTTCTTTGCTTTTGCAAAAGGCCATATATATCATCCATTCATAGACAGTACATCATTCATGTACCATTCACCTGAACATTGCGGCGACGACGAAGACTGGCAGTGGTCCACAGCCCACCTGGGTCTTGTCCGATTCCGGCCCATTTGGGTATGTTCTTCACCATGCTGTCTACTGAAAATGTGGACATCATGAGTGCGACATCAAAAGCTGAAGGGCAACACTTGCAGAACCGTGGCAATGTGAGTGTACCATGGCATGCAAACTCGAGGGGACTAGGCCTATCCACTTTGCCTACCGTTAATAGGCCCCTTTTGAAAGACCGTTCTTTGTTGGAAGCTGTGGAAGCCCTGCATGGAAGCTGTGGAAATCCTGCTCTTCAAATGCTACCAAATCTATTTTATTGGCATCTTGTGTAACTTTAGATATGCATATGTTCTGCCGTGTCGGTTGTTCCGACATTATACAGTGGTCTCAACCTTCTGACAGTAGTTACGTGACTTTCGAAAGGGGTCTATATGGCTTCTGCACGCGTGAATCGTGGCTTCCCCACGTAACTTTGAATTTCAAGAGGAATGAACGCGCAACTTTGCTCCGTACAGGAGCTTATATACAGGAACTTGTAATGTATGCGCCAAGGCGTGCTGAAGATGACGACGACCAGACCGGTGCTCGTGCTCGGACTCGTGCTACTCGGCATTCGAGGAATCCGCTGGCTGTATTCAAGCATGTACTGTTCCGGACTAACCTGTAAATAGCTTGTATATAAATGTACATAACAAATTTGGCGACGAGGAAATCGGCAACAGCGGGTGATACTTCAACCACTCAGCATGGTTGACTAGTAACCACTTAAGGCCCGTTCACACTCTTGCGACTGCTTGCGACCTCTTAAACCTGGGTTCCTTAAAACTTCTTAAACCAGAGAACACACTGGCGCCATCTATTGGGAAGCAGTGTAAACTCGGCGGTCCGGCATATTTTTTTTTATTTCTCGCGCAATATCCTTTTTTTTTTTGGCTCGAAAAGCTTTTGTCAATGTTATAAACGAGCCTTTCTAAGGGTATTACGCACATTTGACCTCGGAAATCCCGCAAAACCTTCGCTTTTGTGAAATGCAGTTCTAGGGTCACCGCATAGATGGCGCCACAATGTCAGTGTGTTCCCTCACTCTAGAAACATTTAAGAAGTTGTAAGAGATCTTGTCTCTCTCAGTCATACTCGGTCGCAAGAGTGTGAACGAGTTTTTACTTTCGAAGCTTTCAAGGCAGGTGAGCCGGAAACATGGTCGTTGTACCTGCAACGGTTGGAATTCTATTTCGAGGCGAATAGAATCGCTACACCGAAGTTGAAACGAGCAGTTTTTTGCAGCATCTGTGGTGCCGAGACATGTGCAATCCTGCATTCTTTCTGCCCACCCAAGACTCCATCTGAGACGGACTTCTCTGACATTGTTATGAAGTTGGGGAACCACTTCGCACCGAAGCCCTCGGAGATTGTGGAACGTTTCAAGTTCCACAAGCGGCCTCAGCGTAGCGATGAGACAATTGCTACATTTATCGTGGATCTACGCCGTTTCGTAGTCACTTGCAATCTCGGAGACACGCTCAACAGCAGCTTGCGCGACCAGATTGTACGTGTGTGGGGTGAAGGATGAATCCTTGCAATGACGTCTCCTCAGTGAAGCCGAACTTATACTGGCTCAAGCAGAGAAGATGGCCATCGCAGCGGAATGTGCAAAAAACGACGCTATCCGAACCACGTCCCAAGACGTCAGCCGAGTCCACAGCATGGCTAAAGACGGACCTGGATCGTCAACGCCTGCCCAATGTTTTACGAGGCCTACAACAAAACAAACAGGGTTTTCCTGTTTCCAAAGTAACGGGACACATCAGCCGTAGGACTGCCACTTCAAGAACACCACTTGCCATTTTTGTGGCCGCAAAGGGCATATCGTCCAGGCCTGCCTCCAAAAGAAGGCGAAGAAAAAACCCTTTTCGGGGCAAGGACAAGGAAGAGCGCAAGCTGATCTGCTAGACGGTAATGCTACCGAAACATACGAGCTGTGTAACCGCTCGTCTAATGAGCCCTCCATCCTCGTAGAAATCAGGATTAATGAACAGTCAACAATGATGGAGGTCGACTCCGGATGCATGTTCTCTGCCATCAGCAAAAGAACAATGGCACGACTTTGCATTCCGAAGCAAAGGCTGCAACCATCCACTGTTGCGCTGAGAACCTATACAAAACAACCGGTAACCGTTCTCGGCAAAGTACACATCATGGTACAACACAAAGAAAAGTCCGCAACTCTACCACTCCTAGTGGTCAGGGGAGAATATGCAAGCCTTCTTGGACGAGACTGGTTCAAGCCTCTAGTAATCCGACTCACTGGTGTCCATCTGCTTGAGACTGCCCAACAAGGTAGTGGATTCCTAGAGGAGTTCAAGGGCATCTTCGACAAAGGCCTGGGGAAGAGCCGGGGACCACCTGTTCGTGTGGAAGTCGACACCTCTGCGACACCAAGGTTCTGCAAGGCAAGACAAATTCCTTATGCTATGCGACCCAAGGTGGAGGAGGAACTCGAAACGCTTGTTAGGCAAGGAATCCTTGAACCTGTGAAGCACTCGAGCTGGGCTACACCAATTGTTTCAATATTGAAGAACAGAGAATTGCGAATTTGCGGTGACTACAAGAGCACCGCTAACAAGGCAGTGAAGTGGGAATCGGAATCCTACCCATTGCCAACACCAGAGCAACATCCTCAGCAACTTGGCTGGATGCTGCCATTTCACACAGTTTGACCTTGCACAGGCCTACCAGCAGTTGACTGTCGATGATCAGTCAGCGAGACTTTTCACCATCACGATGCACAAGGGACTTTTTAAAGTCAACCGACTACCATTTGGAGTATCTGTCTCAGTAGCTACCTTCCAGCGCTACATGGAGAAGCTACTTGCTGGAATGGAAGGTGCACTGATCTTCCTGGATGACATCCTTATCGGCGGCAAGTCTAAAGATTAGCATGACAAATGATTGCAAGAAGTTTTGCAACGACCCCAAGATGACGGGCTCCGCCTTAACGGGGAAAAATCTGCATTCATTGTAAGCCAAGTTGTCTTCTTGAGATTCAAGGACGACAAAGATGGAGTGCGACCTACCAAAGACAAAGTCAGAGCAATACATGAAGCTCCCGAGCCGAAGAACAAGCCGGAATTACAGGCATTCCTCGGCCTACTTAATTTTTACCATCACTTTCTCAAAGGAGCTGCCCACACCCTGGAGCCACTGCACAGACAGCTTGACAAAGGTCCGAGCTGGACATGGACTGTCCGTGAAGCGGAAGCTTGTCGTAAGGCAAAGGAGCTGCTCAAGTCAACAGCTGTTCTTGCGCACTACGATGTCAACAAGCCCTTAATTTTGACTTGCGACGCTTCTCCTTACGATCTGGGAGCTGTCTTGAGCCACGTGTCCGCGACTGGAAAAGAATCACCAATAGCTTACGGGTCCAGAACCCTAAGCAAGGCGGAGCGGAATTATTCGCAAACAGATTGTGAGGCTCTGGGGGCCATATATGGAGTTAAGAAGTTTCACCAATACATTTATGGTCGACCAGTTACTATCATCACAGATCACAAGCCTCTACTTGGGTTACTAAACCCCCACAAGGAAATTCCAGCTATGGTGTCTCCAAGACTCCCGAGGTGGAGCTTGATGCTTGCTGCATACGACTATGAATTGCAGTACCGTCCTAGCAGCAAATTGGGTAATGCTGATGTCCTCTGCCGGCTGCCTCCCCCAGCCACAGTAGGAACACATTCCTGTGGCCGACATTTGGATGCTAGAAACCGCTCCAGAATAACCTTGGAATGCAGAGAAAATCGCAGCATCCACGAGAAGGGATAGAATACTTGCGCGTGTCCGGCGCTGGATTATGCATGGGTGGCCAGATGACAAGCAACCTGACGAGTTTAAACCCTATGTAACAAGGAGAGATGGATTATCAGCTTACAAGGGATGCATCCTTTGGGGAAGCAGACTTGTGATACCCAAGGTGGCCCAAAGCACCATACTTGACGTTCTGCACACAGCCCATCCAGGCATTGTAAGGATGAAAGCACTGGCACGAAGTACAGTCTGGTGGCCTGGAATCAACCACGACATCGAAGATAAAGCGGCATGCTGTTTCGGGTGCCAAGAGAGCAGGCCGTCGATGCCACGGGCCCCGGTGCATCCCTGGGAGACGACTCAACATCCCTGGTCACGGCTACACGTTGATTTTGCTGGGCCATTCAAAGGAAAAGTTTTTCTTATAGTGGTGGACTCATTTAGAAGTATTTATCATGAATTTAATGTCGTCCTCAGCAGTCATTCAGAAACTAAGGATGCTATTCGCCACGCATGGAGTGCCGGACGTAATTGTAAGCGACAATAGCACGGCCTTCGTTTCAACCGAATTTACTGAATTCATCAACTGCAACCAGATCAGACACGTTGCTGTAGCACCTTACCACCCTCCATCGAATAGCCATGCGGAAAGGATGGTAAGAGAGACAAAGGAGGCACTCACTCACATGGATTCAGGCGACGTAAATGTCGATTTGGCTTGTTTTCTTTTCCGTCAGCACGCACTGCCACATTCTACGACGGGCAGGAGTCCTGCGGAACTTCTCATGAATCGACAACGAAAGACTGCATTAAACCACTTGCACCCTGACTCACAGTTCCATTCATCATGGAAACAAGAAGACAAATTTCTTCAGGAAGGGAAGAAGGCGCGTACATTTTGCGTAGGAGATGTCTACGCAAGAAATTACTTGTCTGGCGCCAAATGGTTGCCTTGAGTAGTCACAGCTGTGACTGGTTCATTGTCCTACCGCATTGAGAGTGAAGATTGACGAATCTGGCGTCGTCATGTTGACCAGCTGCGCAGAAGGTCGGCTGCAGGACCAGAAGGGAAGTCTTTATTAGACTTCAGTTTCGCCCCTCCATCTGGAGTAGTTCCTGAGGAACCGGACGCCGACGCTGATGCTACACTTGAGGATGAACCAAATGATCCGCCATCAGAAGTGCCCAGGGCGTCATCCAGGCCCTGCAGACTCACACGCCGTCCTGCCTACCTAGAGGACTATCTGTCTTGGTCTAGTAGGGAGGAGTGTAATGTATGCGCCAAGGCGTGCTGAAGACGACGACGACCAGATCGGTGCTCGTGCTCGGACTCGTGCTGCTCGGCATTCGATGAATCCGCTGGCTGCATTCCAGCATGTACTGTTCAGGACTAACTCTAGGCCGGGTAGGTTAACACGCGCCCCAGTGATACACGCGCGACATAGGATCAAAGCCCCGTGAATGAATGCACGTCTCAAAGCCAGGAGCGGGTTAGGTCGCACTTTGGCGTTAGTCCGTCCTTAGGTCGAAGTATATCGGAAAAGTCTGCTTGTGACAATTGTCGCGCGTGCTGTTTGATGTGAGATCTCAGTGTGGATGCACAATTCATCTCTACTTTATTTTCGTGTGTGTGTGTGTGTGCACTCACCGTTCGTGGTCTCTGGGAACCTGCAGAGCGATTTGGGACCGTTTTTAGTTTTGTAGCTTCGGCACCAATACATAGAACATAACATTGCAGTTTTTTTTTTTTTCTTCTTTTTTTTTTTTTTTTTTTTTTAGATAAACGGAACTATCGCAAGAATCGCAGAAACAGGATGAAAGCTACAGAAAGTGCTACAAAACTACAAAGCAGACGGAAAAGGCAGGAGACAACGGAGACAACGACCTAACGTTGGCTATGGATGCATTTCTTCCCTGGCTGGAATAAAAATTCTTAAGAAACGTAGAAAACACTGGTAGAAAACGAAAATAATTTTTGCATACATTTCATCAAAAAAAGTATCTAAATTCAAGTATACCTTATGACAAGTCAAAGAAAGCAGTGCGGCGATAAAAAAAAACGCAGTTTTAAGGATAAAATACTGATCAGTGGGAATTCAACGATCCAACATCGATCGCTTAAAACAACGATCCAAATCCAAATGCGGCAGACGCCATTACAGATTACGCGCGATTCAGTCAAGTGCAGTGTTTACGATTCGCAAATCACGATAACGTTCGAAAAATGTCGGTTTCGGGCGAGCAACTGACCACTGCATCCGTCACAACTCTTCACGTCCCCACTGTAGTTCCCGCCGTGTCCACCGAAACCACAGCTGCCTCAGACTCGGCTACGGCAAGCACGCAAGCTACAGTCACCGTCGCTCTCACGGCCACAACCGCTACCTTTGCGGCCTCAAGCATTCCGAGGCCTACGTCTCCACAATGTTACAAAACCGCTTCCACAACAAGCCGCCTGCGGCTCGGGGAAGGTGCGCAAGCCGTCGCGATGAACGTTTACGCGACGCTCAGGGAAGAGTGCCCATCGGCCTCGTACACTGACATTGTGCGGCAGACCGCGTACCTAACGGGCGTCTCGTTCGCGACCATTTTTCGCTGGAAGAAGTTGATGGCACCGCCCGGCTTGTTGCCTGGCGTGCCTGTCGTGTCGTCTTTCAAGCGAGGGCGCAAGAAGAAGTCGACCGTGTCTTCCCTTCGCAACGGCGCTCGAAGCGTTCCGAAAGGCGGTCGCAAGAAGCCGGAGCTTGCCGGCACGGAACCACGTCGAAAGAAGCGGGCAAGCAAAGCGACGACGACGACTGGAAAAGGTGGCAGCGAACCCGATTCGGGTAGTGCCGGCACTGCTGCCACCAAGAGTTGAAATGGCACCACCGTCGCCAACAAATCCGCTGCGCTTTTGACGCACTGAAGCTTTGTTGGCGCAGTTCGGTGTGTGTGTTGTGCCCTTCACAACTCCTGTGTCAAGAGACGAATGCTTTAGGGAACAGAAAAAAACAACAACAAGCAAAAACTCGTTTGAGGACTGCAGATGCGCTTGGTACCATTCTGTTGTTTATCTCCTCGATACAGGGGATTTTTCATGCTCATCCATAAATGAAGGATATGCACTGATATTAGATTGTGAAAAAACGGTTGCCTGTTGTGTGCGGGAGATATTTTTGTGTTTGTTTTATTGCTGCTTATCTGTGCTTTCATGAGACTAGCTTTACGCAGTACACCGTACAGGATACGGCCTTAAGATTGTGTTGGGCCTTACGGCCGTGAGGCCGTTTGGTCCAACACATTGAAATTATCCACTCCAGCCTAATTTCGCGAGAAGTTTTGTCCATTCTTTTCAGAGAGGGTGAAATGTTAAAAAAAATAAAGAAAAATCGGAGGCCTTCTATTTTCGATGTGCTATGCCAGCCTGTTTATTGTCTGCACGCTGGTTTATGAGCTGGCTCCCGGATGGCTCGCTGAGCGCAGAAAACGCTGAGAACCATAGTAGGAGACTGGCAAGCATCAGTATAAAAGCGATAATTAATACTGTTCACGAAATGTATAACTAATAACCACCTGAAAGCAAGATCACAAACCAGTGTGCCGACGGCGAACATCCGGTACAGGGCATAGGTAATGCACGATCGAACGCCGTTCTTTTTCTATTCTTAATATTTTACCACTTTTAACTAAAGCACTAAAAAAAAAAAAACTGATGTGAAACTACGTTTGTATGGCCAGTTTAAGGTGTGTGCGTTTGGAATATGTGTAGTACACAGAACCTTAGATCACGCTTACATTGAACAATAAAGTGGCAAATTAACCTTTAAGTGAATCCCCCCAATTCGCACAAAAAAAAAAAAAAAAAAAAAATGCTGGGTTAATCAAACAGCTGGTTTTCTATTTATTCAGTGGAAGATCCAAAGGAAGGTTTTACCTTCCGTTAAGATCCGTTTGGTATGGTGGCCAATGTCAACTGCCCGTATTAAACACAATGTTATGCAACAGAAGTTGGAACCTGAGGAACATTTCCACATCTTCACAAGTTCCGTGATGGCGCAAGGTGGATAACGCGATTTCTCTGAAAGGTGTGGGCGGCTCCCAAAATGCTCGGAAGGAGCCGCGAAGACGCCCACTACCCCGCCTTCGCATTGTGGCGTGAAGTGTAGTGGCAAGAAACCTAGGAAAAGTCTCGAGCATACTGGGTGTGGCGGCCTGAACAAGTGGCCAGCAAAGACAAAATTTTAAGCGCACGTTATTTTCAGGATAATGGTTACCTCCATTCATAACATTCCTTTGTTTTTGTGTGTGTCTGTGTGCGCGCGCACTTTATGTTTTATTTAAAAAAAAGAAACAAAAAAAGAAGAAAAAAAAATAGCGAGCGATCAAGAAACAAGACGACTAGTGTTGTCGCCCATTGAATACTTTTTGTTTTCTTCTAGGATGAGAATTTTTAGTATTTGACATGTTTCCCGCTCAATTTTCCGTACATGTGTGCTTGTCACCAACTCGACGCGCATTTTTCGTTTCTCTTTTTTTTTTTTTTTGCGTGTGTTTTTGTTTATTTTTTAATTTTCTATTAGTATAAAATAAAGGTCATTCTCTCATTCAACGAGGATCACGTAACGTGATCCTCGTTGAATGAGAGAATTACCTCTATTTTATACTAATAGATACGTTTTCGAATGTTCCAGAAGTAAAGCTACCCGCGTGCTTCCAACAACCAGCAAACCAAAAATAGCGCGGCCGAACCAGAAGAGAGCAGACGACGCGAGGAGATTCTGGCGCTTTCGATTGCGCAACAGCCAATAGCAAGCGCTCTCTGAATACGTCACGCGGAGGCTCGCTCCTGATTGGATGGGGGCGCCTGAGCAATTTCTCGAAGCTTCTGGAAGGGAGAGCGGAGCCTACAAAAAGGCGGGCCGCGCTCTTCCCGCCCATACATTGCTCCGAGAGCGCAACTTTTGAAAACTGATCGACTTAGCGCCGAGTGAGACGACAGAAACCCGGAAAACAACCATGCCAATCCGAAGCAAGAGTGGAGCGCCGGCCATCGGCATTGACCTTGGCACAACCTACTCGTGCGTGGGTGTGTTCCAGCACGGTCGCGTGGAGATCATCGCAAACGACCAGGGTAACCGAACCACGCCGAGTTACGTCGCTTTCACGGACACCGAGCGCCTCATCGGAGACGCTGCCAAGGCCCAGACCGCTCTCAACCCCGAGAACACCGTGTTCGACGCCAAGCGACTGATCGGACGTAAGTTCGACGACCCCAAGATCCAGGACGACCTCAAACACTGGCCCTTCAAGGTGGAGAGCGATGCTGGCAAGCCCAAGATCAACGTGGAGTTCAAAGGAGAACGGAAGAAATTCAACCCGGAGGAGATCAGCGCCATGGTGCTGACCAAGATGAAAGAAACGGCGGAGGCTTTTCTCGGCCAGAAAGTCAGCGACGCCGTGATCACGGTGCCGGCGTACTTCAACGATTCGCAGAGGCAGGCCACCAAAGATGCAGGAGCCATCGCGGGCCTCAACGTGCTTCGCATCATCAACGAGCCCACGGCAGCCGCCCTGGCCTACGGACTGGACAAGAACCTCAAGGGAGAGAGGAACGTGCTCATCTTCGACCTGGGCGGTGGGACCTTCGACGTCTCCGTGCTCACCATCGATGAAGGCTCCATGTTCGAAGTCCGGTCCACGGCAGGAGACACGCACCTGGGCGGCGAGGACTTCGACAACCGGCTCGTCACCTACTTTGCCGAGGAGTTCAAGCGCAAGCACCGTAAAGATCTCCGCTCAAATGCCAGAGCGGTCCGGAGACTGCGCACGGCATGCGAGCGAGCGAAGCGGACGCTCTCCAGCACTGCCGAGGCCACCATCGAAGTGGACGCCCTCTTCGAAGGAATCGACTTCTACAGCAAAATCACAAGGGCCCGCTTCGAAGAACTCTGCATGGACCTGTTCCGAAGCACCCTCGAGCCCGTGGAACGCGCCCTGCAAGACGCAAAGATGGACAAGTCTCGGATCCAAGATGTTGTTCTCGTCGGAGGGTCCACGCGCATTCCCAAGGTGCAGAAGCTGCTGAAGGATTTCTTCAACGGCAAGGAGCTCTCGATGGGCATCAACCCGGACGAAGCGGTCGCCTACGGCGCCGCCGTGCAAGCCGCGGTCCTCACCGGGGACACCAGCGAGAACATCCGAGACGTGCTTCTGGTGGACGTGGCGCCCTTGTCCCTTGGCATCGAGACTGCGGGCGGCGTCATGACCAAGATCGTCGAACGCAACTCTCGGATCCCGTGCAAGACGTCGCAATCGTTCACGACCTACTCGGACAACCAGCCTGCCGTCACGATCCAAGTGTTTGAAGGGGAGCGCGCCATGACCAAGGACAACCACCTTCTGGGAACCTTCAACTTGACCGGTATCCCTCCCGCGCCGCGGGGCGTGCCCAAGATCGAGGTGACTTTCGATTTGGACGCAAACGGCATCTTGCACGTTTCGGCTAAGGACGAGAGCACCGGCCGACAGGAGAGCATCCGGATCAGCAACGACAAGGGCCGCCTGTCCAGGGAGGACATCGACCGCATGCTGGCCGAAGCTGAAAAGTACAAGCGCGAGGACGAGATCCAGCGGGAGAAGGTTGCGGCCAGGAACGGGCTCGAATCATACGTCTACGGTGTCAAGCAGGCCGCCGAAGAAGCCGGGGACAGGCTGACCTCTTCGGACAGGGACGCTGTCCTGGACAAGTGCAAGGAAACGTTGTCCTGGATGGATGCCAACACACTGGCCGAGAAGGAGGAGTACGATCACAGGCTGAAGGATCTGCAGCAGGCGTGCTCGCCCATCATGAGCAAGCTGCACCAGGGCACGAAGCAGCAGAGTGCGCCCAGCCACGGCGGACCCACGGTCGAGGAAGTGGACTGAGCTCTGCGTGCTCTACGGACTCTTGTAGATATGACAGTTCGCGGTTCCTAACACGTGTAATGTAATATGTATAGTTGTACATATTGTTTTTAACTTATAAATAAAGCTTACACAATCTCCAGCTTTGACTTGTTTATTGTATCGTTCCCCTGGCAACAGGGAATGGTCGCTGAAAGACAAGGTAAAGCACAATTATGACTGAAAAAGAAAATAGGAAGTTATAGTCTTTGTTTATTTCGCGACGCAAACATTGTGGTATATACCGGGTGTTTCTGCGAAGACTTTAAAAAATCCTAAAACTTAAAGCGTAAAAAAAAAAGAAAAAAACTTTCTTCGGGAACAAACTACCAGCCACGGCGGACGTCAGGAATTGCCAAAAACATAGTAATTACCCAACTAATTAATTAAAATTTGTTAATTAACTTTTTAATTAGTGGAAATAGACATATGGTTCTAATTAGAAAGTTGCTGAGCGTTATCGAAAACCACTAAATCAGTCACTTTCAAAAAGAATTTCGGCGCGTGAGAAGCGTAGTAGTGCACTAAAGTTACCGCTCTTTGAGCAGGTACAAAGCTAGCGGTTGCGATAAGGCGCCCGCGCGATTTTTCCGTCTCTTATCTAGCCCCAGCCTTGTACCTGCTCAAAGAGCGGTAACTTTAGTGCACTACTACGCTTCTCACGCGCCGAAATTCTTTTTGAAAGTGACTGATTTAGTGGTTTTCGATAACGCTCAGCAACTTTCTAATTAGAACCATATGTCTATTTCCACTAATTAAAAAGTTAATTAACAAATTTTAATTAATTAGTTGGGTAATTACTATGTTTTTGGAAATTCCTGACGTCCGCCGTGGCTGATAGTTTGTTCCCGAAGAAAGTTTTTTCTTTTTTTTTACGCTTTAAGTTTTAGGATTTTTGAAAGTCTTCGCAGAAACACCCGGTATATATACACGTATGTTACAAGATAAACTCCCCCCCCCCCCCCCCCTTTTTTATCCTCCTATATATATATAGAGAGAGGAAGAGGAGGAAAAAGGGGGGGGGGGGGTTATTTTGTAACATACGTGTCGTATCCAAGTACTTGGCAAAACTTTTTTCTTTTTATTCAGTGTCCCTTTCGATTTTTTTCGGTCGCGCACCAGTCACCTAGCTGTGTTTGGAGATTTGTGTTTGTCCTTTGTCCCTCTTGTTCCCCTTCTCCAGGGATTATTTTCGTCATTGTTGTCCAGCTCGCTTGCACCTTTGCATTTATTGCATTATAATCATAACCTTAAATTGCAAGCTTCACCCTTGTCGGTGTTAGACTGGTGGTGGCTGATAAAACCCGTTTGCTCTACTGATGTCTAACCCCTGGTTAGCTCAATTGGTAGAGCGCTCCACCTGTAATGGAGAGGTCCCGGGTTCGATACCCGGACCAGGCGGATTTTTTCGGTCGCGCACCAGTCACCTAGCTGTGTTTGGAGATTTGTGTTTGTCCTTTGTCCCTCTTGTTCCCCTTCTCCAGGGATTATTTTCGTCACTAGATGCTAGAGGTTTTTATCTGTCAATTCCTTTTTTATGCATAACAGATTCCTTATCAGTTTCTACGTGGACCATGGCACGACGATTGCGCGCCAACGTTCCGCTCGAACTTGCCTGGAAGCCGAGCAGTCACGCAGCACTTGTTTCCAATCTGTGTCCAGCCTTGGCTTCTTCTAGGCGGTGTTGCCCGGCTTGTCTCCCCTTGCAGCTGAAGAGAAGCTAGCGCTACCTTCCCTGTAGAACCCCTCGGGGGACAGATATCGAAACGTCTTGACACGTACCTCTTTCGAGCAGCTTTCACGTTTCTAATTCATAGAATAAACACTACCATACCAGTGACTCGAATATACACATGCATTTTGACCGCTCTCTCTCCCCCTCCGCACCCCAGGTCATGAACATCGTAGTCACCTCAGCCCCCCCCCCCCCCCCCCACACACACACAGCAAACAATTTCTTTTTTTTTTTTTAATATTTGAACACGCTATTGCACGACCCACTTTAACACCACTGTACCACAGAAACGTACCCACACACCAGTGCGCTTGCGTCATGGACAAAAATTATGCACAGGCTTTTGTTTTACGTTGTTAATTAAGGCTATCGCATATCTTCCGCAGTTCTACGACGATAGCCGTCACCTCAAAAAACCGAAAAAATAAAAAAAAGTCAGTTTTTTTTTTTTTTTTTTTTTTTTCTTCCATTCAAGGCTTATTTCACATTAGAGTTATGTTCCTGTGTCAAGACGTGCACGCGTTTCAAACACCAAAAGCGCCGTTTCTTCCTGCAGCAACCAAACCTCGTAAAAGCGACTTCGCGCGACGTATGAATAATTCGCAGAACATCTTGTTTTTTTCTTTTTTCGTTAGTTGCGCGAGCGCGAGGGAATGAGACGAAACCCTGCGCGCTCTCAACAGCGGGGGGCCGCAACACTGTACTACAAGCTGGACTGGCCTTGACCACGCCAATGTAGAAGTAGAACACGCAGCTGGGCAGAGTTTTAGAGTTTGAAAGGAGGGCGTCTCATCTGACTCTGAGAGAGGAGAAAGCAACGTGCGCACTGGTTTTTTTTTTTTTTTTTTTGTCCGCACTGGTTTTTTTTTTTTTTTTTTGTCCGCTTTTTTTTTTTCAAACTCTACATTTGAAAATAAACACAAAAACAAAAGCTACGATTTGTTTGTAATTTTAATCGAGCCAAGACCTTCATTGGATATATCTTCGTTGGTATATTCAATAAGTTGTAATTCATTCAAGATATCTTTTTGAATATATCTTTATTGGTATGTTCAAATAATATATTTTCATTTAATATATCTTTTATAATGAATATACGGCGAATATGCCTTTATTTACATACAACAAATATATATTTATTTACTTACAATGTATACATCTTTGTTCTATTTTTATTAAATTAATGAAGAGATCTTGATTTACCATATCATGAAGATAACTTCACTTACAAACAATGAATTTATTTTCACTGAGAATGTTTTTGTAGTTCGCTTATTTAATTTTTCCCGCTCTATAGTATAGGAAGACATTAGTTGACGGAAGGTCTCACGGCTAACTAAATAACTCCAATCAATCGTTAAAAAAATAAAAAAAATCACATACTTGTCGCTAGCGCGATTTATTTAGCGATCCAATAAAATTGAATCAGATTTGAGGAGACGAGAGAGGTATTAAAACGCATTAATATCACTCAACAAAAAAAAAAAGAGAAGACCTTGCAGGAAGTAAGATATTTTTAAAGATTTTTAAAATACACCCGGAAGTGCAACGATTGGTTGCATGTGCCATTTATCTTGAAGCAGTACTTACTTACTTGCAGTAGTATAATAAGTGCATAAACGCCGGAATCAACACAGGCCTCGCCGCCGCTCGCAAGAACGCCCCCTCCTTATCTATCAGGTCAGTGGAGGCGACGCTGACACAGCCGGCACCAGATTTTATGTTCGCGTCTGCTTCGATTATCTCTCTTACAGTCTTGACCTTATGGCCGGCAAGAACAGTGCACGCGTTGAACGGCGGCGAGGCCTGGGGATTTGCTGAAATGACCGCGATGCATATACGAGTACTTCCCAAATCACGGCGATTAAACAGTTGATGTCAGCGCTCTGTGTTGTCCAATCTCCTCCTTTGTCCTCGTCTGAAGCACTACCATATTTTTAACGCCCAGTACCAACTCCTCAACAATCTGCACTAATCTGCAACGTACCCCCAAAGGAATTGTCTGTTTTTCACCGCAAAAATAAACTATGCTTAGCCAAACGACCAGGCTCCGCTAAAACGTGGTGCGGGCAATCCGGACGAGGTGCCACAGTAAAGCATAGTTTACATTAATAATAATAATAAAAAAAAAAAAAAAACATTTCTATGATAGTTTTTGGCCGTTGATCTTGGGTTTTCCTGTCAATGAAAACACCCAAGAAAAAAGAGCGGAGGTAACATGTACAAGCACGGGAATAAAGCCTTTTCAAATAATTTATTGTGACAAATACTGATGAGAATGTTGAGAAGGTGGAGCGAGCGAAATTTATAATCCCTATTTAGAAATGGTTCAGGAAGCAGAAGTCGACTTGTTTTCAGTGGCTAAGGCTTCTTCAACGACGACAGGGATGATCTTGACTTTCTTCGCTGACGTCCTCGGAGCTTCGATGGCCAGCAATCCCGTCTTGGTGTCCAAGCTTGACGTCACGGTCTTCGGGTCGACGTCCTCGGGTAGTGGCAAGCGCCTCGTGAACTCCCGCATTACGAAACCACCGTCCTCGTGAGTTTCTTCGTGCTTGCCGTGAACCACGACGTCCCCGTCGACGGTACGAACCGAGAGTTCTTCGGGCCCGAAGCCGCGAACGTCGTAGGCAACTTCGAACTTGGTTGAGCGTTCTGCTTCTTGCGCCGCACTTCGGCGCTTCCGTTGGCAGAGCCGTCGTCTGCTGCGGTCGCACTGCTTCGAACAGTCGTCGTCGTCTTCGACCCAATCCAGCATTTTGATGGGCGACCAGAGGTGGTCGTCGCTGAGAAGGGGGCAGAGGACCATCTTGACAACCATGGCGGTCTCGTTTGCTTCGTGTAGACCAAGCGCAGAACAAGAGCAAGGTGCTGCGTGTTGAGCGCCCGTAGCAGGCGACGCTCCTTTTATGTGGGCAACGTCGTCTGCTCGAAAATGCGCGAAGCTTCGGGAACGCAGATGCGAGAAAACGCGAGAAAGAGCGCAAAGCCGAATTTGATTGGACCGAATGCTTCACTTGACATTACGTCATGTTGGCACGAGATTCAAACAATATTACGTCCCATCGTGCTTCAGCCATTGCAGCTCGTTTCTACTCTCACTCCTGACGGATATCACTAAACTACGTGATTTTGGGTAATTACCACTACATGACGCACATTAAAAATGCCTCTTCAATTCTTCCTAAACAACGAAAAAAAAAAAAGAATCTAGTACGGAAATTTGGCAAGGCGTCAATAACTCTATGGTCTCCACGTCTCAATTCCGTACGGAGATGACATGGTAAGTAATTAATAGAGGCCACAGAAAATAAAACTGTATATCTTGAAGCTACAAAAAAAAAAAAACCAAAAAAGTAAAAAAAAAAAAAAAAAAAACCGTTCATTTTACGCCAAGTTCTTCTTTACTCCGAAAGATGGCACCACCTACCCAAGCGCATGATGGGGCTCCCGAACATTCTTGAAAAAACGCGAAACACCGCGATCCCGCTTTGTGTCACGTGACTACAACCCTCCAATCGCAACGTTCGTTTTTGTTTCTCTTGCGCGCCGCCGCGAACCTTCCAGAGCACGCCGGAGAGCCAACGGCGGCGTATAAAACGAGGAGTACGCTGTGGCGTAGTCATATTTCCGCTCGTTCAGTCGATAGAATTTCAGTTCTGAGACTAACTGAGGATGGCACTGTTCCCACTTCTGAACCGCAGCGTCTTGGGCGGCTCGGACCTGGCGAGGCGTCTCTTCGACGACGACTTCGGCTCCAGCTTCCTCGACGGAGAGCTGTTCGACCCGCCATTCTACCACCAGCGCTTCTACATCCAGCCTAAGAACCAGCAGCAGTGTCCGTACCAACAGCGACAGCGCGGACACGGACCCGGGTCCCAGGCTGTCATGGAGAGCGACCCGAATAAGTTCGCGCTCCGAGTCGACGTCCGTCACTTCGCGCCGGAAGAAATCACCGTCAAGACTGTCGACAACTGTGTCGTAGTCCACGGCAAGCACGAGGAGAAGTCGGACGAGACCGGGTCCTACGTCAAGCGCGAGTTCACGAGGCGCTACGTCCTGCCCGAAGACGTGGACCCACACACGGTGACGTCTAGTCTGTCGGCCGGAGGACTGCTGGCCGTGGAGGCACCGCGCAAGACCCCGAAGGAAGACCCCAACAAGCCGGTAGCCATCACCGTGCACCACGAGGGAGCGTCCAAAGGAGGTGCTGTCAAGAGCAAGTGAGGCGCTCTCATGTTCGTCTTTTTGTGTTCACAACCGTTCCGTGCTTCCTCTGCGAGCATTCCAGTTCCTCGCGTTACTTGTAATCAGTTTCTTTGATGTAATGTATGAATAAACAAGTGTATATGATCCCCAACGAGCTTTTCTTTTAGTTTCTTCTTTCGGCACTAAAATGCTCGGACCGCGGTCACTGCTTGTGGCGGTGCCCGAATGCATTTTGCCGGACAATTTTTCGCCGTGGGAAACTCCCCTCCCGCGCCCGCAGCACCCTGTACTGTAACAAGTTAGTATTTGAATTTTGTAACTAGCAGGGTTACTTTTTTTCCTGTGTAACTGTAACATCGTTATTATTTAGCAGGAACGTGCTCATGACTGAGTCATTTTTACCCTCTTTTAAAGCATGACCATAAAAACAGGAAACATGCTGAAATAAAAAAGGGCATCGCCAGTGAAGGTTTACCATCGAAGGACGACCACGTCCATCGGTGGTAAACTATCTTTTGAAAGTTTCAAGAATGTATTGTTAATGTTATAACTTTCTACAGGAACGAAGCTGCGCCGAGAAATTCCTTAGGAACGCGTCCAAGATTAAAATGCACTTTTCTTGAAAATTCATGGTAATAAAACCAGAGACCCAGGAACACAGAAGGGGACGAACACAACACAACGTCTGTTGTGTTGTGTTCGTCCCCTTCTGTGTTCCTGAGTCTCGGGTTTTATAGCCATGAATCATCACCAGCTCGCTTGTTTTTTAAGCATTATTTCAGTATTTCTTGAAAATGTCTGCTTTCTACGTGCAGAAGCCCAATTTTCCAGTGCATTTTACGTCGACATCGCAGATCGATGCCGCCGTATTGTATATCTACTACTATTGGATCAGATTGTGTTAACATCTCATTGCTTCGTAACAGGAATTTTGTATGTATGTATGGCCACCGGTATACATAGTGATAATAAACCTTCTGTATTCAGTAAAATCTTGATTTGATTAATTTTAACTTTTTTATTCCTTCCCCCCTTCCCTTCATCCCCCCACCCCGCCCCTTTATTTCAACCGCTAGCACCCCCACGTAAAATACACTTCCGGGGGTCGCTGTGCCGAGTTGTAGAGCACTAGGGGTGTCGCGAACCGGCCGCGGTTCGAGTTCGACCAGGTTCGACTTTTTCGAACTTTTAGTGGAAAGTTCGTCGAACCTTGTATTGAGGTTCGACTCGTGTGCGCTGATCGGCTATTTCAGTCAATACAGTACTAAAATTTAAGTTGTTAACTTCTTCAGTGAATAGAATTAGTATCTTTTAATTGCAGCCGTTCACACAATAAAATAACCCTTTGCATAAAAAAAGAAATTCTCCAAACCTAGACATGCTTGTATCAAGGTCTGACCACACTGTCCACAGAGTCGAACTGATCGAACCGGTCGAATCTGGTGAAAAGTCGAAGGTTCGTCGAACCGGTTCGACCCAGTCGAACCCCGAAAGTTTGACCAAAAAATCTGGTTCGACAAAAGTTCGCGACACCCCTATAGGGCACCGTGCCTGGAGCAAGGAACTCGTGTGTCGCCTTTTCTGCGGTACGACATAAGGTGAAATAGAGTATAAAATCTAGCGCGTGAATCACCCAGGCATTTTTCTTTCTCTCCCCTGTAAGCCAGGCGAAACGCCACATGTTTGTTGCAAGAGCAGCAGGGTTGTCTTCAACGAAACGTAGCTAGGCGTGTCGATGACACTAACGATGATGAAATTAACTGTGGATAAAATGTAGCATGCTGAGGAAACAATCTGTCCATAAAATGTCGTTTGACGAACTAATTGCCACCGATGTTCCTGTCCAATCTGGAAAACAATTACTGATAGAGATTCAGAGTTTGCTGCACATCAACCATTCCATCAAGCTCTGGAATCCGGTCGTTTAAACGGCATCCAGTCTGACTAACGTGCGAAAATTCGCATGCCATGGGGAAATTTATGCATCATGGCCTCTTGACACCCAGTTAACACATCTCTGTGGTATTAACCAGTCTGCTAACTCAAAAGTGGAAACTCTAGAAACTGATTAAGAGGTTGAACAAAAACAGCTGCCTACCAGCCAAAAAAGGTACTCTACACAATTTCAAAAACAACACTTATACAATGGTTTCTTCTGCCAAAGTCTCCAAATCACATAAAAATGCATAAGAAAAAAAAAAAAAGGTAGGCACACCTGTTTATTGGGCGTTTTGCGATCCATCACGCTGTTTCCTCAGCGAAACTGCATTTCGCTTCACGCTCTGCCGATCATAGTGCACAAAGTGAGCGCAATGGACGAACGCAGGAAGAAGTACTGGGCAGGGCGGAGCACTACCTAAAACTGATGTTTTATGAGAGGAGAGAGGAAGACAAAGATAAAATTGAGACTAAAATCATAGAAAGAAGAGTAGAAAATCTTTTTGTTTTCTTCTTTCCCTCTCTAGCAGTCTTTCTTCTCCTCTTTCTATGATTTTAGTCTAAATTTTATCTTTTTTCTCCCTCTATCGTCTCATAAAACGTCAGTTGTAAGTAGCGCTCTGTCCTGTCTACTCCTTATTCCTGTGTTTGTCCATTGCACCAATTTTGTGCACTATGTTTAACCAACTATAGTTATCAAATTAATCTGTTACAGCTTCTCCGCCGATCACTCAAGCCATACCTTTGCATAGCCATAGTCAACTTAGACATTTCAAAAGATGCTCTCGTGGAGATGATGACATGACTTTTTAAGGCGTAGTCTAGAAGTTTTTTGCGCGACACAAGCGTGTCTACAAGCGAGTAGAGACGCTTGTCCGTGTCTACTCGCTTGTGATTGTCCCTTCCGTCGCGCAAACTTACTTCTAGACTGCATCATGAACCAACTCGGCCACGACAAGTTTTAATTGACTTTTTTTTCGTAAGCTATACCATGACACTCATCTATTCCCTGCCTTTGGATGGCAGCTGAAATAGGGAAAATAGGCTTACGTGCAACTTTGCCATACCCTCGGACCTGAAAATGCGCCCTCGTGTGCACAGTTCGGTCTAGACCACCAAAATCAATCTTGGAAAGGATTCGTGCTAAAGAGGAACCAACGCAGACTCATCGCTGCGTAAAAACACCTCGACTGCTGTTCAATTTTATGTAAGGCAACAGCTTGGAATCTCTATAAACTCTCTTCTACCAGGGACCCCGGAAGGGTATGTCACGTGGGGGGGGGGGGGGGGGGGGGGGGGGCTAGCAGGCTAGCGGTCGAAATAAGGGGGCGGGGAGAAAAGAAAGCAAAGCGAAAAAATTAAAATTGAAAAAAAGTTATTACGATATTACTTTTATAGATGGTTGATTATCACTACCTGCACCGCGTGTCCATACATTCACCCAAAATTCCTGTCACGAAGCAATGAAATGTTGACGCAATCTGATTCAATAGTAATCGATCTACGGTGTCGATGTAAACTGCACTAGAAAATCGGGCGCTTGTATGTAGAAAGCTGAAATTTTCAACAAAGCTGTAATCGTGGACGCATTCATGTGAAATTTCTCGGCGCAGCTTCGTTGCTGTAGAAAATGATAACAATGCAATCTTCAAAATTTCAAAAAAAAAGTTTACCACCGATGGACGCGGTCGTCCTTCGATGGTAAATCTTCACTGGCGATGCCTTTTTTTATTTCAGCATGTTTCCTGTTTTTATGGTCGTCTTTGAAAGAGAGTAAAACCACTGCAGTCATGGGCACGTTACTGCTAGAATGTAAAAGTGTTACAGTTACAGTTACTCAGGGGAAAAAGTAACCCTGCTACAGTTACAGTTACAAAATTTAAAGAGTAAATTGCCACAGTTACATTTACTTCGCTAAAGTAATGCCGTTAGTTTGTCGTTATATTGCAAAAATATTTAAAAAAATCAAAAGGAACCTTTTTTAATATGCATTTAATTGATTTTTCGTAAGGCATTGTGTTGTTCACGGTAGTGAATCGGAGTTTTTGAGAAACTAAGATTTTCCTAATAACCAATATTGACATGTTTAATCCATCCTAATTCAATGTTTACCATGAATTTCTCCCCTGAACGGAACGGATTTCTTTGGTGAGGCGAAATGGGACAGAGCAACAAACATCGTGCATATGTTAAGTCAACAATAATATAAGCCATACCTCGGGATCAGCTTTGTAGATGTGCAACTCTAATCCACGTCATTCGAGTCGGTTCTTACTGCGTGCGCACAACCTTTCATGAAACACAAAGCTTCTCTATGTAGCGGCAACAGGGCCGTGCACAGAAAATTTCTTTGGGGGGGGGGGGGGGGGGCTTCTGGAACACGGTGGCCATCTTGAATGGCTGTTTTTTGTATTTTTTTTAAAGAGAAGGATGTAATCGACCTATAATTAACAATAGCGAGCAACGAAATGTTTCACATGCACCATCACAGCGGGAGTGAATTGTTTCAAAGCTTCCTCCAGCTTACGACAAAATTTATTTATTGGCCCAAACTCCGCCCCAGTAAGCATAACTGGGGTGAGAGGGAACCGGGGTTGAGAGAAAATGAAAAATATATACAGCCATACTTGGACCAGCTCCCTAACCGCAGCCCCGCGCATCCTCCGCAGGGTCCGGTGATACTCGGAACCCCTGCGACTATAGACACAGCTCGAAACGAATCTTCGTCATTCTCTTTCCATCCTCTTTTCACCGTGCGAAACACCCCATACCCCCGGCAGGCCCCCCAAAGCCCCTGAGGCGTCGCACGCTCGCGGTGTTCTGGGAAGTTGGACTAACGAACAGAGAACCGATACGAGCTTCCCTCAAACGTACGTGTTTATTGCTCGAGCAAACATTTCCTCTGTGTCACCTTATAATGGACTGCAGAGGGCGCTACGAGCCATCTCAGCCAATCCAGCTCCGAGTGTCACCTTACCCTCTGTGGTGTGCTATGCCCAGCTCAAGGTCACGGGATTCTCTCTCAGCCCTCGATTGGCAAAGACGATCTCTAGCATCCGCTATGGTCGACTGTGCGGTGGAACGGAGCGTGGTATGAGGATGGGGAAGCGAGGCGCCCGGGGATCTTTTGCCGTAATCAAAAATAAAAACACCGACTTGACATAACAGAAAAAACAATTTCATTAGACGTTTCGCCTCCCATGCGGGAGGCAT